CAAGAGTCGGATGCTTCACCGACTGAGCCACCCAGGTGCCCCTGTGCCTTTCACAGTTTCTGGAGACAGACACCAGGCACGCCGGGTGGCTCTCTTAACGGCTCCTGGCTCGCGGGGTGTGTCTGCCCTTGCAACACAGCAGAGGTGGAAGCGGGAGACGCCCAGCGCGCAGACAGCTCTCCCAAGTCTCTCCCTTTTCAACTTCGTCCCCTTTATATCCTTAGGGTCAAAAGGTCTATTTAGTCTCCTCGTTTGCATGAACTTCGTCTAGCCCCTTGCTTTGGAAATGTGGAGGTACCTGGCACTTACTGTCTTTTACTGTCAGTTTTAGGAGAGAAGAGACGCTGACACAGGACAGAGTTCCATGTCAACATCTCATCAGCATCTTCATTGTGCGCATCTCCCCTGGTCACTTGTTTCTAGAGTGAAATCTGAAACATGTTTTAATGTTCTCTCAAACTGAAACTCATTAGGAGTCATTTGTCAAAAGGAACGAATGAATTGAAAGTTAAGAAATGTGTGTATGTGTGTGTGTGTGTGTATATACACACATTTTTTAAAAAAATAAAATCCCTGGGGGCACCTGGGTGGCCCAGTCAGTTAAGCGTCCGACTTCAGCTCACGTCATGATCTCACAGTTTGTGAGTTTGAGGCCCGAGTTGGGCTCTGCACTGACAGCTCAGAGCCTGGAGCCTGCTTCAGATTCTGTGTTTCCCTCTCTCTCTGCCCCTCCCCTGCTTGAGTTCTGTCTTTCTCTGTCTCTCGTAAATAAATAAATAAATAAATAAATGTGAAAAAAAATTTTAAGAAATAGACAAAATCCCTGTTATTTATTCCCCTGGTTGATGTAGGTATGTTTGCAAAACTTGGTGATTGCACAATCTTTCTTTGGAAATAAAAATAGAAACTGTCTCCATTCAAGCATTGTGCCTGCTACAACACGTGCTCCCTAGTATCACATGAAGATCACTTCCGAAGTATGAGCTAAGACAGCAAAGTTAGGTTCCACTTGCCCTGGATTCCGGGTTGGTGAATGTAATGATCAACTAATAATCTTTTAAAATCTCAGTGGTTGTGCGATCGGTAAAATAGCCGTACACTTACGAAAGCATTGAAGAGGAGTTTTCCTCAATGGGGATGCTTTGTCCAGGTTACTATTTAGCGATAAGAAATAATTGCCTCTTATCTGAAGCTGAATCGCAGACCCTTTTCACACCAGGTAGTAAGTCTGATTGCTTTCATCTTATAACCCAAAGACCTGGACCTTACCCTCTTCCTCTAAGTCAAAGAAACTAAAAGCCAGACAAAAATGAAAGAATTCATCATTCTTTTTTTTTTTGTCTCTATTTTATTGTACATGCAGAAACAGAACATGAATGTCTTTGAGGAACTGTCTTTGGATTTATTACACTAAACATTTCAAAGGAGAATATACTTACCCCCTGAGGGTACTCTGCCATTATCACCACTGTCGATCTTTCATTTGGGTTCCTATTTTTCCAGATACCATGTTGGTGATATGTAAACGCTAAGTTAATTTTGTTCCTCCCTATTGTTGTAAAGTTGATTTGGCAGTTCGGTTACCCGGGGATGATCGCTGTGTGTCTGTCTCCGGTCCAGGGTCCTTGCACTGGGAATCAGCAGAGCTTGGCCCACAGCAGGCTATGGGACGCAGTTGTGGGCTTCCTTCACGTATTCGCCCACATGCAGATGAAGCTGTCTCAGGTAAACTCTCTTCCCCATCCCAACGCGCAAGGGACAGTAGTCATCTGTATACTCAACCTGCTTTCCTTTGTTTGAATATGATCTTTCTTAGGTCACTTCTTTATATACCTTTCGCTCCATATTTAAAAAAAAAAGTTTTCAATAGAATAATTTTATGCAAGCTGAAAATATATGGGAGCCATTATTCAAATTTGAGAACAAAAGATATTAAGGAGTTGACTATAATGGAGAAATAGAATCGTTCCCAAACACTGTCTATTTTGCAATCCTTCATAGACCCACTTCTTGGTGATTACTCACTAGAATTTTCCTCCTTCCTCCAGGTAATTGAAAAAGGATTTGTAATCTGCAAATCCCTGGTGAAAGAGAGACAGTTTCCTTGCTGAGTCATTAACAAGCAGCTGTTCTCAACAGATGACGTTCATTCATTAACAGGACATTTAACTTCATGAAAGTCAAAGAGAAAAAGTATCTGAGGACAAGCACATAAAGAATAGACAGATTGTCCACCTGTGTTTTAATGTTAACTTGGGAGCGCATATTGAAAATATCAGCATATTATTTCCTCACTACTGTATCTATTTGATTCGAAGCTAAGAGATACACGAATGGAAAAATTCTCGATATAAATCTTGAGTAAATGTGTCCCTTTGATAGGGTGCACTTTGATGATCTGTCCTGAGATCTGATGTACCTGCCTGGGTGTGGGTGTTCGCAGGTGTCAGGGGGAGGAAAGAATGATGGAGTTAAGACCAGAAGACATTCGTGTGTCCTGTTAGTGTGTGCCAGCTCCCTTTCCTCCAGCGAAGTGAGGACACTTGGGCTTGCCCCCCGCCCCCCTCCACCGCGGCCTATAAGCAGGAGCGTATTGTCAAAGAGCAACAAAGCCAGGCACTGGTTGAAGCAATGAGGGCAGGTTTTAATCAGAAATAACTGTCGCAGTAGGGAAAAGAGTCCAGCGTGACCTGAGCTCCACTTGGATTTGTATGGAGGTGACTGGGTATTTTTAAGGGAGAATGAGGGAGTAGGCAGAAGGTCAGTAGAGGCTGTAAGGGAGAAATTACAAAGGGTTGATCGGTACAGACGCAATGGGGCCAGCTTGTCTGCAGGCTGGCAATTGCCCTCACACAGATACTGGGAGAGGAGACCCTGCCCCCGGGTGTCAGCTGGCACAGACAGGAGTTTTTTTTGGCAGCCTTGAGTTTTTCCAGGCAGGCCATCTAAGGTGGGCTAGGGCCATACTAGGGATGCAGCCTTGAGCCATTTAACCCCTATTAGGGTTTTGTTCAGGTCTTTAAAGCTCAAGTTTGGAGTCTAGTTGGGAAGAGGATTCAGAGAAGCTTGGTTAGAGTTTTGTCAACAGCTGGTTATTGGTGACTTCCCCCATATATAAGGGAATAACGTGATTCTTTCATCTAATCACTTACGGCACTTTAGTAAATAAAGGAAACCAGCAGGAACCAAATTTATACACTCAGAAGAGAGTTCTCGTTCTGGTGTATTTCCATCACTTTATTAACATCTGGTGCTACCTAGTAGTTGTTCAGTTTGTAGACCTAGTCAAGGGGACGCTATGTAGAAAGAAATAACCTTATGTAGAGCAAAATCTAAATGATCAAAACGATACCTTGTATAATCTTTTACAAGGAAACAAGGCATAGTTTAAAAGTAAAATTTGATGACCCATAATGTTGTAATGTCAACATAAGTATGTTCTGTGTTGTTTTGACACAGCATACCTTTGTAAAAGAATTTTCCATGGTGAAAAATCAAAGGCAAACATAAACAAAGAAAAAATCCAGAAAATCTTGACCAGAGAAATATCAAGGAGTTTAATAAAACTGGTAGATAAGATACATTATACATTATTCCTGTAGGTGGTACTTGAGTACATTTTTGTTAGATTTATATAAAATAAATTTATGTCCCTATCACTGTTAGGCATGTTTTTCCAGAATAACTTAATTTTTATAAAACATACAGCATTTCTGTGTAATAAGTTAGGAGGAAAGAAAGACGAGTGTAGCCTTCAAGTAAACAAAACCTGTCTAATGCCCAGAGGCACCTGAGTCTTCCCTGGCCCTGGAGAACCCGCTGCTGTGCCCACGTTAGACTCGTTTGTTGTCCTCACACATACTTTAATAAAATGAGATAGAATCAGTAGTAAGTACTAATTCTGAATTGTATCTGTTTACAATTTTACAATTTACAGTTGTATCTGTTTACAATACGCTGCATATTTATGCTTGACCTTTCTTTAGTTCTACACTTCTGCAAAGTGTTTACAGTTGACAAAGCACTTCTCTTTGTGAGAACAAGTACAGTGTTCTTGCTACATAGTCTTCTCATATTATCTAAAATGCAATGTACACGTTATGTATTATGTCATGTATTATATGTTATACGTTAATATAACATATATTAATATTTTCAGGATTCCAGTCAAATCGAGCTATTAAAAGAATTAATGGATCTTCAGAAGGATATGGTGGTCATGTTGCTGTCCATGCTAGAAGGTAGTTTTGATTTACATTTTCAAGTTCCCATTAGCCTTCGATTTCAAGGATCAGTATGTGCTTGCTTATGGAGTCAGCGTACTGCAACGCATAAAATATCAACGCTGAGATGTGACGGATAGCTTGGATTTATTGCTGGCTTTATTACTGTTTTCTCAAGGTTATTTTTTAAGAGATATCTTGCATATCTCAGCTTATATAGCTGGGAGATGAAACCAGTGGTAACTTACAGGGACACTTGTCATTTCCTAGTGATATCCTAAAGAACACGCTCTCCAGACATAGTATATATGAAGACGTTATTTGTTTTGTCCATTGGTTTGTAATCCTTGGACATTACAGGCATGTGGATAAAGCCCGACAGTATAAACCACTGCCTTGAGCTGGCTGCATGGTGACTCCCGTGGGTCCTTCATGGCCTACAAGAGAAGAAGAGAGGACATCATCCCCCACGGTGGCTGCTGGCGGCAGTCCTGTTCTCCCACGCATGCCTGTGGGGGCTCTCACATTCTCTCATTCTCTTCTCTCTTTCCAACTTGTCTTGCTTTCCTGCCCCATGTCTCTTCTGGGTCAGGCAGTAAACGTGGTGCTCGAGAGCTTGCGTTCAAGTCCCCGCTTTCCCGCTTGCTAGCAGTGTGACCCTTGCTAGCGCTGGTTCCATCTCCGTTTTCAAGTTCCTTCCTCTGTGACACGGGGGTACCGATAGACCGATGGGCAAAATTGGTGAAATCACTTGAAAATGACCAAACCCACCTAAAACACGTTTGCTGTTGCTACCTCCCCTTTCTTCTTGAACCCCTCCTAATTTTTCTCTCCCTGTTTCTTAGTCCACTGTGCTTTGCATAACTGCACTTTGATTAACTGAGGCAGGAGGTGTGCCTTGTGCTAGGACTTCAAAGATGCCACATTTACAGAAACCCTTATGTGCCAGCCACTGTATGCCCTCTGGGCACAGGACTCTTTTACCATGACTTCATATCACATTTTAGTCTAGAAAATAGTAACGACACTCATAACTGCAGGAGCAGCTGTGACTGCATCCGTGACAACTTAAAAATCACCCATTATAATAAACTTTAAAAAATTTTGTTAATGTTTATTTTTGAAGCAGAGAGAGACGCACAGAATGTGAGCAGGGGAGGGGGAGAGAGAGGGAGACACAGAATCCGAAGCAGGCTCCAGGCTCTGAGCTGTCAGCACAGAGCCCAACATGGGGCTTGAACCCATTAACTGTGAGGCCATGACCTGAACCGAAGTCAGGTGCTTAACCGACTGATCCACCCAGATGCCCCAAATTCACCCACTTTAATGTACCAGCTACTCATTTAATCCTAATACCAAGGTTATGGCTTTGGTAGTATTACCACTGTTTGGCAGATGAGGAAACCAAGGCACAGAGAGGCTAAGAAATCTGCCCACATTGCTCAGCTTGTAGATGAGCCTGGATTCCAACCTAACGGTGTGGCTCCTGAGCCCACGTTCTCGGCCACGGTGTTTATTGCTGCGCAAATGGACTCAGCAGACCTCACCACGTGTCTTTTTTCTGATGTCTGTCTTTATGTTACATAGCACATTCTGTTCAATGGATAAAAGCTTTCTGTGACTCTATAATTTAGGATAATATCTAATTTTCTCACGCTTATCAATGATCTTCCATTTTCCTACAATAAATATTCTCGACCATGAAGAAATGCCGGGAGATGCTTTATATTGTAAATCAGAAAGAGCATATAATTTGCTTTCAGAGGATCACGTTGATGTCCTGGCACTCACCCTCAATAATCATGTCACAACGGGCACGTTCATTTAGCCTTGCTAAACCTCAGTTTCCTCAATAGTAAAATCAGAATTAATAAAAAGTATCTGCCTCACAAACATATGAACATTAAATCACATATTTTCTATGAATAGTGATTCTTCAGTCCTAAAATGCTGTCCAAATGCTCATTTTTATTATTAACATGAAACTGGACTTCAGTTTCTGGCTTTAGGATATAAATGTTTCCCCCATTTTCTCTATCCTAAAATATATTGCCTCCTCGATCAATTTGAGGGGAAAAAAAACCCAGCTTTTTTTCAAATCTTGATTTACTCCCGATAGTCTGACTACTTTGTAAATATGGTTTTGACATGTTTATGTAATCACTCTTTTAAAGTAGGGTTTACGAATAACTATCCATTGTTTCCTGAGACTTCGTGTGGTAGATGATAACCAAGGAGGCGTCCTTGATTCAGATGTCATTTGAGGCTTCTATGGTCATTTCCTCTCCAGACACTGGTTTTACCAGTAATGTTCATTCTGAACACGTGCCATTCTTTACCACCAGGTAATGTTGTCAATGGAACCATTGGCAAACAGATGGTCGATATGCTTGTGGAGTCTTCCAACAACGTGGAGATGATTCTCAAGTTTTTTGACATGTTCTTAAAACTAAAGGATTTGACCTCTTCTGACACATTTAAAGAATACGACCCTGACGGCAAGGGAGTCATTTCCAAGAGGGACTTCCATAAAGCGATGGAGAGCCATAAACACTACACGCAATCAGAAACCGAGTTTCTTCTGTCCTGTGCAGAGACAGATGAAAACGAAACCCTGGACTATGAAGAGTTTGTCAAAAGGTTTCACGAGCCCGCAAAGGACATCGGCTTCAATGTGGCCGTTCTTCTGACCAACCTTTCGGAGCACATGCCCAATGATACGCGACTGCAGACTTTCCTGGAGTTGGCAGAGAGCGTGCTGAATTACTTCCAGCCTTTTCTGGGCCGCATCGAGATCATGGGAAGTGCCAAGCGCATCGAGAGGGTGTATTTTGAAATCAGTGAGTCCAGCCGAACCCAGTGGGAGAAGCCCCAGGTCAAGGAGTCCAAAAGGCAGTTCATATTTGATGTGGTCAACGAAGGGGGAGAAAAGGAGAAAATGGAACTTTTTGTCAACTTCTGTGAGGACACCATATTCGAAATGCAGCTGGCAGCGCAGATCTCAGAGTCGGATTTGAATGAGAGGTCAGCGAATAAAGAAGAGAGTGAGAAGGAGAAGCCGGAAGAGCAGGGGCCCAGAATGGGTTTCTTTTCCATCGTGACGGTCAAGTCAGCCCTGTTTGCTCTCAGGTATAATATCTTGACCCTCATGAGAATGCTCAGCCTGAAGAGCCTGAAGAAACAGATGAAAAAAGTGAAGAAGATGACGATGAAGGATATGGTCACGGCCGCCTTTTCGTCCTACTGGAGTATTTTCATGAGCCTCCTGCACTTTGTGGCCAGCGTTTCCAGAGGCTTCTTCCGCATCATTTGCAGCCTGCTGCTTGGCGGGAGCCTAGTAGAAGGAGCAAAAAAGATCCGAGTGGCAGAGCTCTTAGCCAACATGCCAGACCCCACTCAGGATGAGGTGAGAGGGGATGGAGAAGAGGGGGACAGGAGGCCCATGGAGGCCGCCCTGCCCTCGGAAGATCTGACAGACCTGAAGGAACTGACGGAGGAAAGCGACCTTCTTTCGGACATATTTGGCTTGGATCTGAAGAGAGAAGGAGGACAGTACAAACTTATTCCTCATAATCCAAACGCTGGCCTCAGCGATCTAATGAGCAACCCGGTCCCTATCCCTGACGTGCAAGAAAAATTTCAGGTAATTGACTCTCTGGACTTCTCTAGGCATGATAAACGAAGTCTACATCAGTTTTCGTGCTAGTGCCAGAGTGGTGTTATATACGTGAGTTGGGTTTCCAAAGGGAAATGGCTCTTGGTAGGCAAAGCTTGCCTTATGATGATACTTGGCAAATTACTGAATTATCTTAAACTGTTAGGGCGTAAGCTCAAGTCCTCACCCTAATGACAGGAGTCAGCTGGGCACTCATTCCATCCACAGATATTTTATGAGTCTTTACCAGGTGCCTAATGCCGCTGGGTATCATAGGACATTAAAGGAGATAGAGGATGTGGTCATTGCTTTCAAATGGCCTGAAAGAGTTTATTAGGAAGATATAACCAACACTCATGAAGGAACTAGGAAATTATGAAGTGTTAAATGGTGAGGGCACTAGATAGTAGAGGTCATGTATGTTGACAAAACGGAAACATCACTTTGGTTTGGAGTAGCTCAGTGCAACTTAAGAGGGGGGCACTTAAGTTTGCCTTGAAGGGTGAGTAAGGATCGAGTAGGTGGATGTGGGAGGTGTGAGTGAAGAAGAAGGGGCAAGAGTTTAAACTAGAATGAAGGGTGTGCCTGGCACCTTCATCTCCGTGAAGGCGAGAGGGTATCCTTGGTAGGTTGTGATTTGTCACGGGGTCACGGGGTTCCCTAAACTCAGAGGTGATGTGTAACCCCGATTTCTTTCTCCCCCTTGGCCCATTCAAGGAACAGAAGGTGAAAGAGGAAGAAAAGGAGGAGAAAGAAGAAAGCAAATCTGAACCTGAAAAGGCCGAGTATGTGTAATTTCTGTATATGTGCCTTTGTTTCAGTAAGTCTGATTTACCTGCACTCTCCCTCTCTTTGGGGGACAGTCTGTCTTGCTCTCTGATGAAGTCTGCCATTCTTGAGGTGAAGCTCTGGGGGGAGGACCCCCCCCCCCCAGCTGCCACTCCATTTCTTCCTCCTTGTTCCATGAGGATTCTGTTTGTGCATTTCCCTTTCAGCAGAAATGGCTCCAGTGATTCCATGGGATGCTCTCCTCAAGGTCACTCAGTGCTGAAGTTCTGTGCTCAAAATCAGGCAGGACTTCTGTCCTTATGAGCCAGGGAGGAGACAAACGTTCTGAATGCCATTGCCCAGAATCCCAGCAGTGACCATCCCCCCAAAGCATAGCCCCAGAGCCACATGCACAGTGGCGAGTTTATTAGAAACAAAGATCCACAGGAATGCTGATTCAGCATGTCTGGTGTGGAACCCAGAAGTCTTCAGTTTTACCCACACTCCTGCTGCGGGGCACAGTTGCCTTTGTGGCAGTAAGAAAGAAAGAGCTGGGTGTGGAGCCATAAAAATGGGTCACTTCCCCATAACACTGGCTTTCTGTTAATCATGGAAACCTCTAGCTTTCACCCAGTTTAAATAATTTCATAGGCACACTTTTAAAAATCAACGAAGTAAAATTTTAAGTACCTCTAAGTGCTACTATGCTCACACAGCATTTTTACTTTCCCCTCCGTTGTTTTCTTTGGCGTGTTTTCGTGGGCTCTTCCTTACAGTCATCTCTGTTTATTGTCGAAGAAGCCCGCATAGTTGGGTCGGTTATAAAAACGGCCACGTAGATGATTTGTTATAGTGAAATCTAACGTCACAACCGTTGTTTCTGTGGCAATTCTTTCACGTTAAAAATAATGTTAGATATATGTCATCCAGGTTGGGGTTATGTTTATGTGACAACGCGTATATATGTTTATATGACTACCCATAAATATGCTTTCATGAAGGATTGGTATTTTGCATCTAGAAGGGGTAGACGGTCAACTTTCAGTACTTCTGATTCCATCATTAACATGTTGACATGCTTTATGTATGTGAACCGCCAAATGCATATGCCTCTGATTTTAAGTCCTATTGGCTGGTCAGTGTTAAAACTGAACATTAAAATCACAATTTAAAAATAAGGTTATTGGGAAGTCACAGCAAAAAAAAAAAAGTGTCTTCATGGTCATTCTGTTTTCAGTTAAATGTTTTTATTGCACATTTGGAAGGGAATGTGGTACATAGAGCCGTAAAGACACTTCAAACCTGTAAGATGCCCTGTATTTATTTATTTTTTAATTTATTGTCAAGTTAGCTACCATACAGCCTCGTCTTGGCTTCAGGAGTAGATGCCCGTGATTCATCACTTACATACAACACCCAGTGCTCATCCCAACAGGTGCCCTCCTCAGTGCCCATCACCTACCTCCCCTACTCTCTCAGCCCTCCACCCCAACAACCCTCAGTTTGTTCTCTGTCTTTAAGAGTCTCTTGTGGTTTGTCTCCCTCTCTGTTTGTAACTTATTTTTCCTTCCCTTCCCCTATGGTCTTCTGTTCAGTTTCTCAAATTCCACATGTGAGTGAAATCATATGATACCTGTCTTTCTCTAACTAGTTTATTTCAGGTAGCATAATACCCTCCAGTTCTGACCACATTGTTGCAAATGGCAAGATTTCATTCTTTTTCACTGCCGAGTAGTATCCCATTATACTGGAATACCAAGCAGTGTTCCATACACACACACACACACACCATATCTTCTTCATCCATTCATCAGTTGATGGACATTTGGGCTCTTTCCACAATTTGACTATTGTTGATTGTGCTGCTATAAGCATTGGGGTACACATGCCCGAATGAATTAGCACTCCTGTATCCTTTGGATAAATTCCCAGTAATGCTATTGCTGGGTCATAGGGTAGATCTGTTTTTAATTTTTTGAAGAACCTCCACACTGTTTTCCAGAGCGGCTGCACCAGTTTGCATTCCCACCAACAGTGCAAGCGGGTTCCCCTTTCTCCACATCCTTGCCAACATCTACTGTTTCCTGAGTTGTTATTTTAGCCACTCTGACCAATGTGAGGTGGTATCTCACTGTGGCTTTGGTTTGTATTTCCCTGATGAAGAACGATGCTGAACAAACATCCCTTTAGATTTGAATGTCACAAAATTATCCATCAATGGGAGCCTATGATAGGCAAGGAATCCAACCCCTCATTCTAAAATTCTGGATATTATAATGCACTGGAAGAGAAACTAGTTTTCAACAGCAGTGCTGTGCTTTAAATTTTTTTTTAATGTTTATTTATTTTTGAGAGAGAGACAGAATGTGAGTGGGTCAGGGGCAGAGAGAGAGGGAGACACAGAATCCGAAGCAGGCTCCATGCTCCGAGCCGTCAGCACGGAGCCCAACACGGGGCTTGAACCCACAAGCTGCGAGATCATGACCTGAATTGAAGTCAGACGCTCAACAGACTGAGCCACCCAGGCGCCCCAAGCGATGCCATGATTTAAATATCCATTTACGTAATTTGGCACAAAACCTGTTTATATCTGTAGCTCCTGGATGGCTTGTATTTTATTCATTTGTGTTCACAGGGGAGAAGATGGAGAAAAAGAAGAAAAAGCCAAAGAAGATAAGGGTAAACAGAAGTTGAGGCAGCTCCATACACACAGATACGGAGAGCCAGAAGTTCCCGAGTCGGCATTCTGGAAGAAAATCATCGCATATCAACAGAAACTTCTAGTAAGATGTTTTACAATGAATATTGTTATTGATATATTGTGAGACCCTAATCATTCAGGCCCAGTAAACATTCACCGACCTCTCCTTGGGTGGCAATCAGGGGACGAGTCAGCCCCGCAAGTATGTTTTCTTTGCTCGCCTGAGTGTGTTTATATTTTCTAATAAGTGCCTTTGGCCCACTGCTCCCTGTCCTCAAACCATAACCTCCACCACATCCACCTTCCCTGAAGCCATGTGATTTAGTGACTGCCAGCACAGTGCATCCAGAGTGTTCCCAGTAAGACTTTAGGGCAAGTTAGTAAATACCCCCTGAAGCTCCACTCTGCAGGATACTGTTCCAGGGTCTGCAGGCCATTAAAGCAAAAACATACCTGAGGGTATAAGTAATTCGGATTGCAGTTCCAGAGCTGGATTCATCGATTTTTCTAGAACATCATCTTTTTATTAAAAATCCAGCTATGAAAGTATTAATGCAACGAGTCAACTCTCCATTGATACTAAGAAGGTCTGTTCAGAATTATTCTTTAAGTAAAAACAAGTAAAAACCAACGAATGAAAAGAGAGAAGGCAGTTCTTTACGTAGTATCCTATGCATTTTGCAGAAATGCTCCCCAAATTAATTAAATGCATGTTCATATTTGAAAAACAAAGAAAGAAGGTATAGTTCTCTATCTTTATTCATATTTACAGAAGATGGCATTCTTAAAAATTTTGGTTGAAAGGCCTTTTTTATGTATGTAAGTATAATTACAGTATATACGGTTTTTTGAAGAAGAGCATGTAGATTCAACCTCTAAAAGGTACTGACCAATAATATCAGACCTAGAAACGAAGACCAGTGCTGCTCCTAATAAAGCCATTTGAAAGTCAAAATCATATTTAGTGTTTTACAGCCTTTGAGAAATCAAAAGTAGGTAAGAAACTCAGTATACTACGGCACTCTGTCTATAAGGGACGTGAATTGTCCTCGGTAATTATGTATTCTAACTGCCTATGTAGAAATAAATATTACGCATTTTTATATAATTTATGCGAACATATATTTTAATTAATAGTTTCAACTATGTTTTCTTCAACTATCTTGCCTTTTCCCTACGTTGTGGGAAAGTGTATTAAATGTAAATGGTTTGTAGATCACTCTGGATAATCGCTGATTCGCTATGTTGTAATAGTTGCCATAGCTGCAGACGTAGCCAGTGTAGATGGTATTGGGCATGAGGTTGAACGGGCCCCAATAACCTGCCATAGCCCTAGTGAATTCCTGAAGACTCTGTTTCACTACAGTTGTGTAGAGCAAGTCAGTGAGGGTTGTCTTCCACCTGTCCGCCATGTTCTCTTCTCTCTCTGCAGTCCTATTTTCCTGCTTCTGTTTCCTATATATGACTTTCTCTGTTCACCAGTTTGCATGCACAAGGCTAGTCATGGCCACATCAGGCCACCACAGGCCCCTTGTCCCTCAAGTCTTTGTGACCTCAGATAAACAAGGTCACTAATTCAGCCTCCGTGACCCGACTCTAGCCTTCCACGAGGACAACCAATGTGACTGGGCCGGTTTGGGTGTGGCAGCCTGCCTTCGTCCAATAAGCCACGGCAGTAAAGTCAGGGTCTCGTGTGGGAGATGACACCACCCAAATGGAGTGTGTCCATGGAGACCAACAATGGCGCGTGTTGGTCATTTTGACATGACCTATTCTGCTAAAGCCCCTGGCATATCCACTTGGATACATCGTAGACCTCTCCCACCTAATATTAAAACAAATACTTTATATTTCCTATAGTCTTTTTCCTTAAACCTACTTCCCCTCCTACTTTTTTCCAGCCAGTAAATGGTACCAACCACTTACTGAGTTACTCGGACCCCAAAATCCAGAAGTTACCATCCCTGAGTCCTCTCTCTCTTTCCTGCCTCAAATCCAACCCAGTGGTAATTCTTCCCAGTTCTGTCTTCCAAGTATATCTGGAGTCTGCTCAGTATCACTATCTCCACAGTCCCTTCCTGAGCCAACCCATCACCATCCATAACATCCCTTTCTGCTGTCCTTTGGTAACTCTTAACTAGTCCCCTTGTTTCCACTCTTGCCTCCTATCTGTTTCCCACACAGCGGTGGGAGTAATCTTTCCAGATCATAATCTAGTGGTATCAAGCCCTCTTCAGATCCTCCACTAGATTACCATCCCACCTGGAATAAAATAATAATTCCCATAATAATAATAAGAGTAATAACTAACTTTCCCTCAGTGAACTTACCTAATCCTCAGAGCAAACCTCTGAGAAAGGTTTCTGTCGTTCTGCCCACTTTACAGATGAGAAAAGTGATTCTGCAGGACTGGTTAATTGCTTGTCTACACCTGCAACGACTGAGTGGTGATGGTGGGCTTCACAGCTGGGCAGCATGGCCCCAGAGGTCATACCCCAACCCACAGCACTGGAAGGGACGTCACAGACTTCTGTCAGAAGCCTGTAAACCTGTGCCCCTCACCTCTCTGACCTCATTCCTTCCCATGCCCTTGTCTCCTCCCTGCTTTTCTCTTACTATCCCTCAAGCACATCGTCACTCCGAACTCAGAACCTTCGCCCCCTTCCACGCACTGTCTCTCTCTGACACATGTGCCCCCCCGCCCAGTTGTTCACTTGACCTCTTCCCTATGTATTTAGGCCTCTGCTTATACATAACCTCCTAAAATAAACCTTCCCTGACCACCTATCTAAAATAGCAGCCCTGTTCCCCAAGCCTGTAACCTGATGGATTTTTCTTCATAGCATTTAGCATCCTCTGAAACTAGATTTTGTCTTTCATCTGCGGATGTGTACCTCCTCCGTGGTGGCCCAAACGTACTCCCTCACTGTTGCGTCTACAGCTCCAAGAACGTTACTGGATGCAGAGTAGGCTCTCAAGAAGTAGTTTGGGGCAGATGAATGAATGCTTTAAATCGTCTGCACGTGTCAATCTCTTCATTCAGTGACCTTAATTTTCATCGTTTTTTTCAGAACTATTTTGCTCGCAACTTTTACAACATGAGAATGTTAGCCTTATTCGTCGCGTTTGCAATCAATTTCATCTTGCTCTTTTATAAGGTACGTACATCTTTATGTTTCAGGAACCAGTACGAAACCACAGACGGGTTGGATTGCGTGTGCAGAATTCACACATTCGCCAGTGAGCACATGTAAATCTCTTTCAAGATATGTTTTGATGAAAGGAAAAAACCTAGAGCTCAGGCACATCACTGATGGTCTAGTAAGGCAGGAGCAGACTTGTTCCTCCAAACTAAGCAGGAAATACCTCAACTAAAGAGTGTTTGATGTAGTACAGGGTTTACCCAGTGTCCCTAGCCTGATTTGGCTGCGTACCCCCCTTGGTACCATATCTGGGTGTGGCACACCCTCATTACGTTAAATTCATTTGGTACCTGAGAAGGCAGCCTAGCCATCTGATTTTTCTCCTGCATGCATTAGACTCCTCGTAACTCTTGCTCAGATTAGGAGGTGTTTTAAAGGGTGTGTTCGTTATAGGCCATCAGCTTCCGAAAAGCTATCTTTTTATTTTTAGCCTTTGCTTTTAGTCTTTTCGTGGTACCTGAGCCTCATATCTGGCTCTCTGCTGAGAAGGCTGGGTTTCCATTGTTTCTTGTGTGTGCCGGTCCCTTAGAGGGAGTGAACTGACTCTACTTTAAATGGTTTGAATCAGGTCTCCACTTCTTCTGTGGTTGAAGGAAAGGAGCCCCCCACTCGCAGTTCAAGTGGAAATGCCAAAGTTAGCAGCCTGGACAGTGGCTCACCTAGAATCATCGCGGTTCACTACGTCCTGGAGGAGAGCAGCGGCTACATGGAGCCCACGCTGCGGATCTTAGCCATTCTTCACACGGTCATTTCTTTCTTCTGCATCATCGGCTACTACTGCTTGAAAGTAAGATAGTAAGGCACCAAGGTACCTGTGTGTGTCCGTGTTTGCGCATGTCTTTTGCAGGTTGGACTCCTGGGGGAGCAAACTCTGAGATGGGAATTTCCTGCACAGTGATTATTAGGGAATGTTCCACGAATCAACACCCGTGGGGCAAGGAGAAGAAGCAGGGTGGAACAGAAGACAAAGTGGGGCTGTGGTTCAGATACAACAGAGCACACACACAAGCCTCAGTCCCTGAAGCTGGGATGCCCCTGCAGGGCTGTCTTGAGCTGGGGCACTGGAGCCTGGCCTTCAGAGCTCCATGTTGACCAGTCGTTGACTGCAGGCTGTCCTGGGAAGGGCCTGTGGCCCTGGGCTGTCTTGTTATAGCTCCCTGTCACATATTGGCAATTATTTACATAATGACCCTTTTCATCAAATCTTGGCCCCACAGAAATAACCTACCATGTCCCCTAGCAATGCTCCACTGTTTTAGAGTTATATAATACATCATATGGAACCTATGAGTCATTAGGCACCTACCTAATGCCATCAATGGCAGAAAGACCACAGTTTGTCAACCTTCACCCAGAGAATAATGCAGCTCTATCCCCAGAGCCCTACCAAGAGAATAATATAACTTGGTGAACAGAACTCAAGATGGTCTCCGAATGCCCAGGGCTGCCCATTACCTTTGCAAACCTCTTTATTTTTTCCTAGCGAGACACCTTTTCTTGGTAATGCCTTTATCTCATTGTCTCCTACCTCAGATTGTGAAGCTTCCAGAAGACTTTTGAAAAGCCAGAGTCCAGGGTAAAAGACTAGAATGTAAAATTTTCTTCAGAAATTCTTTTCCCTTCCCTGTCTTTCCTTTGTTTTATTAAGAGGGGACAGGGGAAGTATTCTTGGATTTTTCTAGAACGTCTGCCTCTTTTTTGTATCCGTGCCTTCTGTAAAATCTGTCCGTATGAAAAGAGAGCCAATATGTTCTGGAAACATTTTGGCTAGCTGACAAAGATTTTTGCTGATGCTGGAATTAAAATTTATTTCAAAATAGCATATGGGCATGCTGAGTGTGGAATAATTAAAGAGATTTCTCAAATAACACTGCACTTTTTAGAAGCATGCATTTTGGAACATTAGTAACATTGCTGTATTTTACTGTATCCGTTCATGTTTCACATATATAAAGATATATGTTAAGTATATCATAATAAAAGATATAATACATCTTTTTCTCTTTAATACATAAAAGTGATTTCTTCAGTGTAGTTATCTGTGAACTTCTATGTGTTTAAAAACATATGATTATAAACTATATCTATTCTATCTTCTTTTTTTCCTAAACCTCTAGATGTTTCTTTCTGCCTAAATATAACCAATTCATTTTCACTCAATTTTACCTTCCTGGAAGTAACATGGGAAATACTTCTTTTTCCAGAAGCTGTTTTGTAAAGATAGCAACCACAGGAGATGCCAGTAAATCTAAACTAATTTTAACATGTTTATTTTTTTCAAATGTAGGTCCCATTGGTTATTTTTAAGCGAGAAAAGGAAGTAGCTCGAAAATTGGAATTTGATGGGCTTTATATTACAGAACAGCCTTCAGAAGATGATATTAAAGGCCAGTGGGATCGACTCGTAATCAACACACAGTGAGTAAAGAATTATATGAGACATTACTGTGCTCAAAAATTTCAAGACAAAAAACAAACAAAAACTTTGCTGGAGTTCCTGCAGATTTGTCAAAAGTTTAGCAGAGGTGAATAATAGTTATATTTTCGGCCAAGAAAATCAAAAGAGTAAGCACTGTCAGCCTCTTAACGGATGCTATCAATTTTTTTCCTATCTGTGTTCCGAATTCCTTAATCAAAAATGGCTTTGGGTCCATTTCCACAGCCCTGATGGAACTTAACATCCATTACTCAATGTTCAGAGAAGTGTGTAGCTAGAGGGGCATAACCTGCAGTGTGGGGTTATCTCATCCAAAAGACCAGACGAAGCAAAAAATGATTCATTAAGGAAAGAGTTGTAGCATTGAAGGCAAAAATATTGAATTTCATACTTTCAATGTATCTAAGTTGTAAACTTTCAGCAGCCCAGCATAAAACTAGTTAAACGTTATGACATGTAAAATATAAGGCAGGGAGACAAATGCTTTTTCTATACATTAATTATTTACCCTTGTGAGATCAAGACCCAGACTCCTAGCAGCTGTTCCAGGTCAATCCATCACATAAGTAGAACTTGCCACCACTAAAGGTATTAGTGATACACTATTTTTTGAGTGTTTTCTACTACTCTAGTGTGTCAAGTGTGAAATATCTTTTTATTGTGATCAGTTTTGCTTGTTCTTAAGAAGTTAAAATTGCTAATAAGCTGAGTTTTCAAATGAGGATGATGTGTTTGTGCATTAAAAATGTTTACTCTAAATGCTCAATGTTTTATTTGTCAACTCTGGCTGTTAATACTAAGTCAAATTAGATCTGTCCCTTTAAGTGAAGTCCATATTAGTACAGGTGCCACGGTCAGTTTCTTCGAGGATAACGTGGGAATGAGATTTTTTAACTTTATAAGAAAAAAAATGACAGATTTTTAGATACCTTAATTTTTATTTATTTATTTTTTTTTTTATTTTAAATTTTTTTTTTTTTTCAACGTTTATTTATTTTTGGGACAGAGAGAGACAGAGCATGAACGGGGGAGGGGCAGAGAGAGGGAGACACAGAATCGGAAACAGGCTCCAGGCTCTGAGCCATCAGCCCAGAGCCTGACGCGGGGCTCGAACTCACAGACCGCGAGATCGTGACCTGGCTGAAGTCGGACGCTTAACCGACTGCGCCACCCAGGCGCCCCTAGATACCTTAATTTTTAAAGATAATTGACAGAGAAACGTATGTCATTTGACATGTTACAAATGACATGTGTCAGCATGTAAATAAATACAACAAGCTACTTATTAATAAATATGCTCATATTCTTCCCTGTTAAAATATTAGCCTGGAGTCTTTTTGTGATTTGCATGTATATATTGATATATTAACGCTTACATAATATTTAATGTACCTCTGATATAGGAAAATTATGGGATAAGATGGGACAAAATTGATTATAATTTTTGTGAATGAAACAATATGTGTTTACATATTATTTTAAGTATTTTGTTTATTCCAAACAACATATTGTTATTTATCATTTTTTTAAATGATACTATTTTACTTTTATGCTTTTATATTTTTTAGGTCATTTCCCAACAACTACTGGGACAAATTTGTTAAAAGAAAGGTAATACCTCTCAGAAGGAATGCATTCTCTATTTGTTTCCTAGAGTGCAATTCAGATTTGAATTTGATATGGCTCGTGTGGAGAATGAAATAGTGAGGTGTGCTTTTATCTGTCTTTTAATGTCATTTCAAAGTGGCAATAGAATTCAGTATGAATTTCAAAAATTGCACGTAAAGAAGAACCCATACTCTGCAGCTATAAAATGAATAATAAGCATTGCTTCATCCACCTGTCCTCTGACTCAGGTGAATAATCGGTGCTCAGTCCGCACAGTAATAGGAATTGGTGAGAATTTTCTCCGAGCTTCTTTGGGTCCCCTGAATTGGCTAACGACCATTTTCTGATAAGACAGCTGTATATCACTGGGGCTGGAATCCTACTTCACCCTGTAGGAGCAGAGTCGTCGCATGAGAACAAAGGATTGAGTTTTGTTTATTTCACATGAACTTCGGAGATCTTTTTATTTTCATAAAGTTTTATTCTTCTGATGCATACTGCGTCATAGAGTAGTAGAAAGAACAATGATAGGGCATCAGTGATGAACTGTGGCACCTGCTAACTGCTCTGATCTTGAAAGTCAAGGATCTTCTCTGCTCTTCTCACCACATAGCATTTTAATGTCAGATCTCTTTTAATGAAATAATGTATGTACCGGTACTTGTAGATCATGAAATACTATTGCTTTATGTGAAGACTAAAGCGATTCACATAAAGCGTTACATTCTAGCTCCTACTTATTCTTTGAACCTTTCTGATTGCCACCCTGACTCAACTCACCTCCTTAATGAGTTCTAGCTCCAACGGGTACCGTCTGGAGTAGCCAGAAACATCTGCCAGATGAAGTGCTCTTGTTCCCTTTGATTCCGTGTTACTCAGGAGGATTGGTGACCAGCAGATTTTTTGTTAGCAATCTGAGGGGAGATAGAGGGCTTGCACCAAGAACTGAAATCAGGTACACGAGGAAGCACGTTGACCTTTTTTAAAAAATCTATTTAATAACAAGACTTTCTAGTTGAGAGAAGTCGTGTGTTTGTAGATTTTATTCTGGCACTAGAGTTTTGTCTCCTGGTGGGACGTGAAATTCTGAGCAGCACTGCCCTCCTGCATACGAGCACATCCACATTGGGCCAGGGCTTTGAAAGACTTATTTTTAAACAATTTTAAATAGGGAACTTGAACACTTTATTCTCATTAGCTACTTAAGAAAGAAGCTTTGAATTGTTAAAGCACAGATTTCTCTGAAGGAAACTGCATATTCAGAGTCAAATAAATACGTTGTCATTGCAGGGGCGCCTGGGTGGCTCAGTCAGTTAAGCATCCGATTTCAGCTCAGGTCATGATCTTGAGGTTCGTGGGATCAAACCCCATGTGGGGCTCTGCGCTGACAGTGTGGAGCCTGCTTGGGATTCTCTGTCCCCCTCTCCTTTGCTCCTCCCCCCACTCTTGTGCTCCCTTTCTCTCAAATAAATAAACTTAAAAAAGTAAAACTAAACTGTAATTGCAGCAGGGACTATTGGTGGCATTCCTACTATACTTAGTGCTGATTTGTTGTCCTGGGAGTGAGGTGAGAACACAGCCCAGAGGGAACCCCCATGCAGGCCACCCCATCCCATTTTTAGCACCGTGAGAATAACACAGAACAGACCTTTGTGGGTGATGTTCATGGGCTTTTTAACTACGACTTCTCTTTCATGTTTTCATTTACCTCGACTGTATACATTCAGAAGAGGCTTATTTTTATTTTTGCTAATCCCTTCTTCCTTTCCATTAATGTATTTCTTCCTTAGTTCTCTCTCTTCTTTCCCTGGGGAACCCCCTTCCTCCTTTCCCTCACGTGCTCATTTCCTTCTGCATTCCTCGTCCTCTGCTCTCCTACCCTCTTTTCCCCTTAGTGGCCCATTCTCTCTCCTACTTTTCATTCATTGCTTTTCCCGTTGTCTCCATTTTCATTGTGTGTGGGACTCTCACGGAAGCATTAGGCCAAGAGTGGCTGTGTCACGGGGCTGTGCTTCCTGGGCTCAAGGGAAAGCTGTGGGCCCACGTCTACACCGGTCTGAAAACGGGACATGTGGGCAAAGCCAGGAAGATGTGGCAGAGGGAGAGGGGGGCCAGGAAATGGAGGACAGTTGCTCAGAAGGGATTCTGATGGTGTAAAGGGGTCTATGCAAGGATTGCCCTGAAGACAGGGGGAGGTGACAAGGTTCCGGGGATTACTGAAGGACTGACAGCTTAAGTCAGGAAACTAGGGGAGAGTTGAACGGTTGTAACTGAGAGCCCAGGGAGGATGCTCTCACAAGTGGCCAGCCCATGGCTGGCGATGGTCAGTGCAGATCTTTCCTGAGAGTCAGATCTCGCTTGGTGGTTTCCTTATTTCATCTCTTGCCAAGCTTAGCAAGCTTGGACATGTTACGTTTTCTTATTTTTTTTTTTTTAATATTTATTTTGTGAGAGAACACAAACAGGGGAGGAACAGAGAGAGGAAGAGAGAGAATCCCAAGCAGGCTCCAGGCTGTCAGTACAGAGCTCAGTGAGGGGCTTGGTCTCATGAACCATGAGATCATGACCTGAGCCAAAACTAAGAGTCGGATGCTCAATAGACTGAGCCACCCAGGTGCCCCAAGGGCATGTTATGTTTTCTAAGACATAACTTCTTTATCTGCAGAATAGGATGCTGATAACATAGTGTGACTTACATAATGTGACAGTCCCATGAGGGAGAGCAAGTCAAATTTCTTTACATAATTCCTGGCGCAAAGGATGAATTTGGTCAAAGTTCCTTTCATTCCATTTTTTCCACTTCTTGACTTATTTCCTTGGGCCCCCCTCTTCCTTTTGCATGCGTCCCTCTCTTGACTAAGACATCTTGTTCCTCGGATGGGTATTACGTACAGTGCTGTAAGTTTGCTTTGACCTTAAGCATTGCGATCACAGAAGAAGAGCCAGAAATGAGATTTTTAAGTGAACTCGAACATAAGACCAATACATAGTAAGTGTCAAAATAATTAGATGTTTGTATGCGCATGCATACAAGGGGTTACTGAGTGGTTGAGGCCAGTAAAATGTTTTATTTCCTGTGCCCAGGTTATGGATAAATATGGGGAGTTCTATGGCCGGGACAGAATCAGTGAGCTCCTTGGTATGGACAAAGCCGCCCTAGATTTCAGCGATGCCCGGGAAAAGAAGAAGCCAAAGAAAGACAGCTCCCTGTCAGCCGTGTGAGTATTACCTCTTCCCAATGGCTCTAGACCCAAAGGAGAAGAAATTAATACAATTCTGAACTTGATAATGCCTCGACTTCCTTTCCCTCAGAGTCTGGGGGAATAGAGATGAGGGAAACAGAGAATGTACCTAAGGGTCTACTTCTATGCTTCTGGGTATTTTTGGGTGTGGAATGATTGGATTTTTTCCTATTATTTTGGAAGGTGACTTTTTTATTATTTACATAAAGCAAAAATTATGTAAATAAAGATGTATGTTCTTAACTTAATTTGCCTTTTCTATCCCTAAATGCCATTTAAGTCAAACATATACAAAAGCACAATATTTGACTACCTTTTCTGATGCTGTCTGAAAAGAGGTTAAACTTTCTTAGGTTTTGGAAGAGGGCACTATGGAGCCCTTTTATTAGGAAAGTTCAAAGTTCATATTCTTTTATTATAATTCTTGAGTTTTGTTTAAATAGCAAAGACTTCACAAGCCAGAAGTACTATGCTGTCATGCTGTTACTCAGGAATTTAACTTTAAAATGAGGTGTTCCTGGAGCGCCTGGGTGGCTCAGTCGGTTAAGTGTCTGACTTTGGCTCAGGTCATGATCTCATGGTTCATGGGGTTGAGCCCCGTGTTGGGTTCTGGGCTGACAGCTCAGAGCCTGGAGCCTGCTTCAGATTCTGTGTCTGCCTCTCTCTCTCTCTCTGCCCCTCCCATGCTCATGCTCTGTCTCTCTCTCTCAAAAATAAATAAACATTAAAAAAATTTTTTTTAAATGAGGTGTTCCTGATATAGTGCTTTAATGGAATAATAGGTTATAATATAGCTAGAAAGATGTGAATCAGTTGAATTGAATTTGCCTCAGGTTGAATTTCACACACACACACACACATATATACATATACTGCAAATATATATTTCATCAACTGTAATTCTGGATTAAGTGTAAAGCATACATGTTTTAAAAAATATAATTTCTCATTGTAGCCACTTAACGATTTTAGAAGAAACATAACAGTTACTTTCCCTTAAGAACATGTCCACTTTTCTTGTAAATTTATGGTCTCAGTCAGTTAGGGATGTGACTACTTTCGAAATATAGATACTTGAGGCTCTGTAGGGTGGTATTATTTTGTGTCAGATAAATATTTTAGCTAGCATTAAAAAAACATGTTGGCTGACCTCATTGGTAATATAGTTTTTTATCTATCTGAAAACTTACTGGAGCTACATGGTTTTTAAAAATAATGTGAACTCAGTTTAAAAGTAGTTAGTTCTATGGACAAATACATGACAGAAACTGTGGATTTAGATCCAAAATACCACCTGGGTACTTTAAGAAAACCCATGTGGTACATAATGAATATATCACTGTATAGAAGATGAAACACCTTGCCAGTGCTTAGGAATTAAGACCTTTATGTTAGAATATCATATAAAAACAAGGACCATAGAGCAGTGCTGAGCTTTCTACTAATATTTTCAGATCTCTGACAAACAGTGTAGAATCAAATTGTTTTACTGAATTATGCTCTTTCCATGGTAATATTTATGATCCTAAAGAAAAAAGTCTGAAAAAAATAGAAGGAAAGTTTAGACTATTTTATAAACAAAAAGGTGTTTTATTTTTACTGTGACCAGAAAGTTTTGTTTTTTTTAATTTTTTTTTCAATGTTTATTTTTGAGAGAGAGAAAGAGTATGATGGGGGAGGGGCAGAGAGAGAGAGACATAGAATCCAAAGCAGGCTCCAGGCTCTGAGCTCAACTCACAAGCCTGATGTGGGGCTCAACTCACGAACGGTGAGATCATGGCCTGAGCCAAAGTTGGACACTCGACCGACTAAGCCACCCAGGTGCCCCTGAACAAATAGTTTTAAATTAGTGGAATTTTCCACTTTTTTACATAGGAAATGTTTGCGAATTTGACCCCTAGCAAAGTGCCAAGAAATTAATATGGCATTAATACCTTTAAATATGAAGGGGCACCTGGGTGGCTCAGTCATTTGAGTATTCGGCTCAAGTCATGATCCCAGAGTTGTGGGATTGAGCCCCTCATTGGACTCCATGCTGAGTGTGGAGCCAGCTTAAGATTTTCTCTCTCTCTCTCTCAGAAAAAAAATTAAAATAAAAAATAAATATGGATAATAAAATTAGAATAAATTTCTAGTAAATAATGTCCATAACTAGGAAAAAGAATTACATATATTGTTCCTTTATTTAAAACATTTACAAAGATCAAATTTTAAAACATTATCTGCTTTGCATATTATCTTAATGTGAATGTTTGGGTACAAGGATGATTCATCTATTTGTGCATGTTTTATTTGTCAATCAGATATGTAGGGCTTGTCAAACAAACAGGTGGCCAGATTACCTCCTGGGGATAGAATGGCTGCCAGGACCCACAAAACCTGCATCTTTTTCATTTGTGTCTTTATGGGAAAAGAGAAGGGATTTGTATCTCAAAACCATCTAGCAAAACTCTTCAGCTTCTGGCTTATAGTCTGCCCCTGAACCAAGCCCTGTGGCCAGGTGAATGGGTGCCCAGTTGGCCTAGATCAGCTTTGGCCCATCCCTAGGGGTTGGGTCAGCTCCACCCAAACAGGAGTACTGTCGTGATTGGTGAGAAAAGAGTGTCCTACAACACCAAAAGGGTATGCTGCTTCACGATGTTGACAGCAAACTTGTTACCCTAATGTTTGATAGGAATGAAAAATAATAACCATTTTTTAAATAAAGTAAGAAACTGCCATGGGGCATTCAGTCATCCTGATAGAAACACTTAGTTTTAGATTGCTTTCATGGGAAATAATCATGCTCTCATGCAAATTACCCCATTATTTATTTTTTCTCTGTCTTTGGGTTTTTAAATTTAAGATAAAATAGTGTTGGGGTGCCTGGATGGCTCAGTCGGTTGAGCATTTGACTCTTGATTTTGGTTCAGGTCATGATCTTACAGTTTTGCGAGTTTGAGCCCCAAAAAGGACTCTGTGTTGACAGCATGGAGCCTGCTTGAGATTCTCCCTCTCTCTCTGCCCCTCCTTTCCACACACTCTGTCTCTCTCAAAATAAATAAATATACTTTAAAAAACAAAAAGAAAAAAAAATAGCCTTGTATTGAAACCCATTTTAAATATTCACATAACTTTAAAAAATGATCTCTAGTAATAGAATTGATTCTAGCTCAAAGATAACTTTGTTTCTTTAAGATAAAGACTCCTAGGCTAAGGTAAATTAAAACATAACCTTTTGGGGGAGAAGTCTCTAAGAAGTCCATTTTCATTAGCGATTACTGATCCTACCACTTGAAATTTAAGATTGGCCTTCCTAAAAAAAATGACTAAAGACATAACGTGTAAAACAGTAAATATAGAGAAGCCCTTTTGAAACGAATACTCCTATTTTATAGCCTATCATATCAATTACCTAGAATATTAGATAGGCTAACAAAGTTATAATTTTAGCACATCAATCAGTGGGCAGCTCTAAAAAAATTAAAGTTAGAAAGTATGTTTTACTATGTATGTATTTAATCTACAAAGATCAGGAATATTTATGCTAAGATTTACTCATCCAGCACATTTATTGAGAGATATTCCATGTATGATACAATGTGCTTGGTGTTAGGGAGTTTGCAGACTAGGGAGAAAGGCATAAATGTACGTAGATACCTGCACACCCGCAACTACAAAACAAATGGGAAATTGTAGTAAGTCTACAAAGTAATTTGGGAACCAAGGGGAAAAGGTGAATGCCTTCTTGGGTAGAGATTTTTTTTTTTTAAAAACAAGAGGAAACACAAACAAGATGAAAGAGCCCTTTCACTGGCAAATTTAGTTGTAAAGTGAATGTGGATGTTTATGCAAGTTTTTATTAGCCTAAGTAAAAATTATTCTGTCAGAATGCAATTACAAATGTATAATGAAAGCGAGGAAACTTGGGATGCACACATGTTGGTTAATGTAGTAGCATAGTTTCCAGAAATCATTCTCACATAACAAGTGGCTTTACCTTATATTTAATGCAGGAAAAGAAAGTGCTAATCTTAAATAATAGAAGTTGCATCTTTGTTTTGTTTTCCAAGATCCCACTAAAAAAGCATTACAGAATTCTGGAACACATCATCCAGATGTTCCAGATTCCCTTGACACTTTGGATGGAACTAATTTCCTGAGATGGTTGCCAGTTTCATCCCACAGAAAGAATGCCAGCAGGCTCTTGCAAGCCTCCGAGTCTTTGTTTCACATGCATATCCACAAATCCTTCTTTGTCTTTCCAGACTGAACTCTATTGATGTGAAGTATCAGATGTGGAAACTAGGAGTCGTCTTCACGGACAACGTAAGCCCACTTCATTACCACAAAGTACAGTGCGCTATGATTAGACAAGTCTGTTGGGATCCGGCAGGCAGTCAGTCAGTGATTTAAGGAAGTCAGTCAGACAGCAATTGATTTAATACAGACCATTATCTGAGAATGACCCAAGGAAATAGGTGATTAATTAGCCCCCATCTCTCAATCCATTTCTTTCAATAGCTGAAAGATTAACATGAAAATATATTTATGCAAGAAAAAGAAACTGAGATGCAAATTCACATGTATTTTCATTTAGGTTTTAGTTGGGTAATGAGTTCAAAGTTTCCTAGATGTTAAAACGGAAGTTGTAAATAAAGTTTTAAAACATTAATTGTGATAAATGTAAGTTTCCACCAAATTAAGTGCATTAAATTATTGTGGTTTTTGTTCTTGATTGATCCTTCTTTTCTCAAAGAGCCTAATAGCCCAAGTCTGTATCCAAATATAATGAAAAAAATTCACCTGGTACTAAAAGCCACCGACTGTCAGGTCGGACGATCACGTTGTACTACCCTGGCTTGCTCAATAGTTTGACATTTTTGACTCTTAGAATTTTCAGTTTAAAAAATCATTATTATCAATTGTTTTCATGCTCCCATGTGCTCTCTATGGGAAGTTGCTAGGGACAGTCATGAAACGCTGCTGAATGGATCAACTACAAATGTTTGTCTCCTCCTGCTGGTTCAGAATCCTCCTACCATCCTCACACACCTCCTGCGAAGGGGCACTTACAAGCAAATCCAAAGGCTTAGTCCTAGACCCTCCTCTGGTTTTGTCTCCCTGGCATATCTCAGTCTCAAAATCACACTCTAATTAGCAGTGACTTTTACAGTGAGTGGTAATTCTGTTCTCCTAAAGACATGCGACACCCCCCCAAATTCTCCTGTCTCTATCCCCACCCCTATCGTACCCAGTCATGGGCCCGGAATACTGGGTCTTTTAGAGAACTCTCCAAAGATCTCAAAAACAAGTCTTGTAAGTATCTTTTAGAATTGTCAACTGTTAATGCCTTCAGCAAATTTCTCTTCTAATAATGGAAGCAGCTCCCTCAAATTAAAAGGAAACCACCTCATCTCTAGCACTGATGTTTTCTGTTCAGGTAGCCCGGCCATCTTGGCTTTTGCTAGTTAAGGTCAATCCTCCTTGACCTCCTTATATGCCACAGTACTTGTGTCATGCAAGATATGTATCTTGCTCTAGTTTTCTTGCCTCCAGAGCATTTGGGCGTAGACAGACTTCTTCAGACTTGTTTCTGTTATATTATTCTGATACATTATCCATCCACCTGTAGTTTCATGGCTGTTTGGCCAGCTACTTCTCAACATGTCTTCAGTCCTCAATAGTGTGGTTTCTGTCTGAAACACAGCTAGGCTTACCAGATGAAGTACAGATGAGTTCAAGCCCCGCGTTGGGCTCTGTGCTGACAGCTCAGGGCCTGGAGCCTGCTTCAGATGCTGTGTGTCTCTCTCTCTCTCTGCCCCTCCTCTGCTTCTGCTCTCTCAAAACTAACTAAATAAAAAACATTATAAAAAATTTTTAATTACAGATAACTAAATATTTACATATATTTACATTTTTATATAGGTATGTATACATACCTATACATAAATATAGGTAGTTTTATATCTATAATATAACAATGTACAGTATACATACTTATATATTTATATGTGAGTATATCCCAAATGTTGCATGGAACATAATCTAAAAATTATTTATTCTTTACCTAACGTTTATCTGTAACTGGGCAGCCTGTTTTTATTTGCGAAATCCGGCTAAGGACGGCACCTGTGTCGTCTATACATGTATCCTTGGCTCCCCTGATCACCTATATTAGTCTCCTGACTCATCTTCTGTCCACACACTTGTCCTTTCTCCTCAGCCTTTTCATTTCTTAATAGCCTGCTGGGTGTGTCCATTCAAATGTCCTGTGACAAATGCATCTTCTCTCCTCACTCTTCCCTGCTAAACGCAGTCCCCCTGTCCACCGTTTCCTCTTTCTGTTAGTGTTTTTGTTCTTCTTGCTACCTATGTCCAGATGACCAGCTTGGACTCCTTTTCCTTCTCCTTCTAATATATGCATTCAATTATGTGCCCAATTGGATCCTTTTCCTGCCCTCTGTCATTCTCTGGCCAGTTCCGCTGATAGTCGTGCCTCTTATAACCTCCCCCGTGGGGTTGGCCAGTAGTGTCCTAACGCAATAGCTCTGCCACTTACATCTTCAAGAAAGTAGCTTGACCGGAGTGAGCTCACTTTCCTCATCTGTCAATTTGGGGCTAAGATTGCCTACTTATCAAGAGTCTGGCTAGAATAAAGACAGAGACTGTATGTGCAAATATACAAGACGGTATTTTCATAAAATGCTGCTTTTCACATACCATTATTCCGTATGATGCTCCAGGGGCTCTCCCGTGCCGGTGGGATGTGCCCATATCCCTTAACTTGGCTTGAAGGCCTTCCAACCCCGCCATACATTTCCAGCCTCATCTTCTGAAACAGAAGCCCACTCTCAAACCAAGCTGTCACTCCTCAGCACATTCTGCGTAGTCTTATCTCGGTGTCTATTTTCAAGTACTGCTTTCTTCCACCCGATGTCTAACCTCAGCCCTGAACTGCCCATAAAGATGATTTATACCACCTCAGCCCCCTTTGTCTTGTGTTCTCTGTTAAAGCTTAAGATATATTCTAGTCAAAATGAAGGTTTCCTCCCTTTCCCAAAATGGGTAGCTCTTGACTCCAATGGCAAAACACTTATGCCCAAGGACCCTAATCCAGAAAGCAAGCATGATCTCAGTATCTTTTATTCTACTTTTTTTATTCTCCTCCCCTCAAAAAGTATATACACTTATACATCTAACCTCTGTAAAGCAAATCTCTTACATTGATTATAAACAAGATTCCTACAGATAGTACCAATTGTATTATTAGGTTTATTATAGCCTTCAGTGACATTAAGTAGTATTTGCATTTTCTCCTAGACTTGTTTTGGCTCACATAAAGTGAGATGCTTGGTTAATAAAATACCGCACGTAATTTCTTACAACTAGTAGGTCTCCACAAACACTGATTTAGAGAGTGAGTAAATAAAAAACGAAAGAGGGAAGGACAGTTGGTTGGTTCTTTGATTGAGTGTAGAGCAGGGCTCTCAAGGGGGGAGATTTTGTCCTCCAGGTGACTTTTGGCAATGTCTAGAGACATCTTTGGTGGTCACGGCTGGCATCTGGTGAGTGGAGATCAGGGTCACTGCTGGTCATCCTACGGTGCATCAGACAGCCTCCAAAACAGAGAATTATCCAGTCTAAACTCTCAGTAGTGCCAAGGTGAAAACACCTTGCTATCGAGTATTAGGTCAGTAAAATTCTCTCTATAGAAAGATACATAAGAACAGCCTATCTGATATAAAGGAGAGAAAGACATTGAACCTCTGAGGACAAGCTAAATAACAATAAAATACATAAACCAATATAACTGATTCGAATTAAATAGACAAAGAAGGTAAAGTAAATGAAGTGATTATAATGGAATGAAATCAGAGTAGCTTTGGACAACAGTCACTCCTTCTGGTTTCTGATATGCTTCCCTCTCGTTTGTCTTCTCAGTCTTTCCTCTACCTGGCCTGGTATATGACTATGTCCGTTCTGGGACACTATAACAACTTTTTTTTTGCTGCTCATCTTCTTGACATTGCTATGGGATTCAAGACACTGAGAACCATCTTGTCATCGGTAACTCACAATGGCAAGCAGGTAAAAGTTGATTTTTTTTTGACTCCCTACAAAAAACAAAAACAACCCACCAAATACACCAATAAAAATAAAACCCAACCTCCAATGGCAACATATAGTTTTAAAGATTTTTGTGAATGGACGATATGCACTTTTTTTATTTTTTAATTTTTTTTACAAACCATGAGGAATATTGGTTCAAGAGTCCCCTACACCTACATTCAAGTGTTGGCTTGACCGATACACTGTGTGACCTTGGATAACTGATTTAACATTTTTAAATCTCAATTCATTGTGTAAAATATATACAATAAAAGTACCTACCTTTTAGAGTTTCTGAGAAAATAAAATAAGAACATAAACGTGGAGGTGTTAGCACAGGCCCCGGCACATACAAAACACTGCAGAAAATAGTTAAATTTTTCCTAATATGATATTTACTCCATTTGATACCAGAGGGAACTGAAATGTGTTTCAGAATCCTGATGCACTAGTTACAATAGTAATAAAACACAAGATGCCGCGTTCTTAATTTGGTGTGATATTTAAAAATTGGATATCGTGTGGTCTTTTATAATGTTTCATACTTGACAAGGTCCTACTCCAAGGACTTACATACTGGCCTAGTTCCAGATGATCAATTTATGTTTTAATGGAGCCCAGTTGTAATGTGAAAACTTTAATTATTCATAAACTCATTATAGAAGCATATATTTATTGATTTATTCTCTATCACCTGTCTACTGGGAGTAACACATTCTATATTCGTTATTTGGTTTAACAGAGTCATTCTTTTCCAGAATTTTATAATTCAGCATATTTTTAAATCCATGTCCCCCCAAACACGTGAACTATGTCCATAGTTAAGTTCATATGAACAGTTATCATGATTTTTAGTTTCCTAAATTTCAACACATTGTTGTTCTATATGTGACTCTAATTTTTGAATGTGACTATGACATCAGCAAAAAGTGTTTATTCATTCATAGTATTGAGCCCCTGACATATTTAAAGAACTGGAGATTCTGAATCTCTTGTGTATTTTCACACAAAAGGTTTGGCTTGCTTTCAATTCACTTCTAAAATTTTGCGAGGATTATTCCTTCTTTTTGAGATATCAATTTTTGACTTACAGAAATATAGAGAGCTTAATAGTCCTCATAATAAGATGTGCAGAAATTTATAGTGGCATTGTACTTCGTTTACAGAAGTGAATTAAGCCCTCTATTCAGATAACGTATTTTCTCCAGATAATTGTAAAATTATTATTTTTTTTTTTTAATTATTTTTTTTTTTCAACGTTTATTTATTTTTGGGACAGAGAGAGACAGAGCATGAACGGGGGAGGGGCAGAGAGAGAGGGAGACACAGAATCGGAAACAGGCTCCAGGCTCTGAGCCATCAGCCCAGAGCCTGATGCGGGGCTCGAACTCACGGACCGCGAGATCGTGACCTGGCTGAAGTCGGACGCTTAACCCGACTGCGCCACCCAGGCGCCCCTGTAAAATTATTTTTGAAGGACTTAATATATGCTGCCACAGTCAAGAACATAGGGATTCATTGTAATTAGAGAAGTAGACACAAAAAATAATGCATTTTAGTGTGTTTAGATTTTCTGTGATATAACCAGAAATATATTTTCACCAACTTGGTGAAATTCTTATTTTCAGCACATACATATTATGATCAATTTGGATGTGAAAGTCAATCAGAGTTTATTCATATTCCAGCTGTAGTATGCATTCATTAACCAATTAAGTAGCCAACTTTTGCATAAAACAGTCTGACCACTTGATAAAATAAAGAGCATATGGAAATAAATTTCCCCACAGAGGAGGGTAAGAAAGGTACGGTGTGAGGTATGGATCCCATTACTTTCTAGTCAATAAATCCAGGTATGTGCTCATAGAATTCTCCCCTCCCACACTGATGTTGAACATGCCAGTCATATATGCCTTGCATTTCTAATGCATGTTCTGTGTCACATTGCTTTCCAGCTTGTATTAACTGTTGGCTTGTTAGCTGTTGTTGTATACCTATATACTGTTGTGGCATTCAACTTTTTCCGAAAATTCTACAATAAAAGTGAAGATGGTGACACACCGGATATGAAATGTGATGATATGCTAACGGTAAGTTCATACACTTTGATCTCATATGAGTGAAAAATTCTCCTGCTTCTTCAGTATGAGTGGTTGTGTAGTTACTCTTTAACCTTGCAGAATAGAAAATAGCATACCCAGTAACAAGTTGTGTGGCTCTTTAAAGAATCAACAGTTTTCATTCTTTTGCAGAATGTAAAGGACCGTTTCTGCCATTTTTTTTGGTACATCTGCTGTACCAGCCTGATAATCAGTAGATTTTTTGCATAAAGGACTTAGAGCTGGAAGGATTAATATAAACGCTTTAGCTGAATTGGTTCATAGATTCCAGGACAGCAGTTAAAATTATTTCCTTGGAGAGTATTTTGAACCCTTAGTTATCTGTTTACTTTCATGATATTAACTGACATCACCGAAGTCCAAAAATAGATCTTTTACTAGAACTCTTAGGTTTTGCTTAAATATTCAGTACTTTAGCTTAAATTACCTTTTCGGTCTTGGTTTTAAAATCAATGGATGTTCAAGCTTTCATATTGCTCTACCCCTGTTCCTTAACCTGCCCGTCTAATATTGGCGAATCAGAAGTTATTACAGGTGAGATCTTAGATTGAAAATATGTACCTCTAGCTGAAAGGAGATGAATTCTTCATTGAGCACCAAATCAAAATACCTACATAGCTGGGGTTAGTGGTGTAAGAGACCAACAAAGTGACAGTAAAATTACTCTAGAAAAAATAAACATCCCAAAAGAGTAATGAGAGGGAACTACTAATGTTATAAAAACTAATACTTAAGGCAGGTTTTGTACTAGAGAATGATACATGTGTGGGACAGAATAGAGAGTCTAGAAATACATGCAGATACACTTGGAAATTAAAAGTATGATAAAACATGGCTTTTGAAATCATGAAATGAAAAAGAATTCAGTAAATGGTATTGGTACCATGGATATGCTTTTGGGGAAATTTTGATAAAAATTGATACCAACCTAGTTCTTTACATCAAAATAAATTCTGAATGGGACACATATTTTAATGCAAAAAGAAAAGAATAAAAATTATAACAGAATTTGACTTTTGAAATAATAAACAATTTTTTAAATTTTACTTTTCTTTAAAAAAAATTTTTAATGCTTATTTATTTTTGAGACAGAGAGACAGAGCACAAGCAGGGGAGGGGCAGAGAGAGAGGGAGACACAGAATCCGAAGCAAGCTCCAGGCTCTGAGCTGTCAGCACAGATCCTGATGTGAGATGAATCATGGGAGATCATGACCTGAGCCAAAGTCGGACACTTAACTGACTGAGCCACCCAGGCGTCCTTGAAATAATAATTTTTAAATGGGGAAAGGTCTTTCTAAGTGTGTCATAAAACCTAAGATGCATGGGGTCCTAAACAATTACTTTAAAAAGGAACAACACTAAGCGAGGTCTTAAAGACAAATGAAAAACTAGGAAAATATTAACATAGGGCCAGTGTCCTTAATTTACTAAGTACTTATCACTAGGAAGTAAACCAATAGGAAAAGGAACAATCAGCTCGTGGTAAAATTCAGTCAGCTTACAAATTGACAAAGATTAAAGAAATGCAAATCAAAGCAATCAACTGCCACTTCTTAACTATTAGGTTTGCAGAATATTAAAGTTTGTTAATACCCACAGTTGAATCGATGGAAAAACTGGCACTTTCATGAACACTTGTAGGGAATTCAAATTAAGACAATGATTTTACAGAAATTTTGCAATATCTATCACATTTTTCATTGTACTTACCCTTTGACTTGTCAGTTCCACTGATTGTATTGATTTAAATGTTTGTTTACAAATATGCTCCTGTGGGTTTAAGGATACTTGCTACTATCACAAATTGGAAATAATCTAAATTATATCAATAGAGTCCCGATGAAACCAACTATGGCAAATCCATATCATGGAAAAGTAGGTTGTTTAAAAATAAGACCAATCTGCACGTGCTGATATAGAAAGACATACAGATTGCATTTCAGTGGGGAAGGGGGGGCAAGATCTTGAACAGTGTTATGATAAGATCCTGATTGTGTGCACACATACACATGCTAGAATGTACATATTAGATACACTAGAATATGTACACGGTGTTTCTGGAAGAATACATGGGACACTGTTAACAAGGGTTCCTACAGGGAGTAGGACTACAGATTAGGGAGAGAAGAAACTTAGTAAGGGATTCATCACTGGTAGTGACGTCCCCCAGAGTCACTAAACATGTGACACTTCACCGCCAGTAAGGATCCTTCATCTCCTCTTGTGAGAGGTGCCTTTAATACCCACCTGGCCTCTCTACCCGGTGACTTCAAGACTTGGGGTAGCAGCTGGCTAGAGGCAGGGAGGGGAGCAGACAGCTGGAGGAGTCAACAAGGCACAAAAGGGAGTCAGTCATTACTAACAGCAGACAGTTGTGACTCCAGGGAGATTCATTTCTCTTCCAGAAGCACCCCCTCCCCCATGGTTCTAAATCTCAAAGTCCACCTTGGTTGAGTCAGAAAGTTTAGAGAGGTGATTCACTGCCAGAGGGTGTGGTGCCCGCTGAATCGCTGAAGATTGCTGGAAAGTTAGGATGACTTCACGTAGTGCTCTTGAGTTGGCATTGGGATTGGCGGGGCCTCACTTGCCCCCCTCCTACCACAATAAGACCCCTGAAACATCCAGGTGTCTCCTTCTAATGTCATGAGTCATATTTGACCCTATTCAATTATCCTGATAGTATCCTTGGATGACTACATTTCGAACATCACTCTTGGTATGAGTTTCCATTGCTTTTGTAAATTTTCCCAACGAACTTATGAGAGGAATCCAGGCATGGTTTGAACAACAAGTGAGTTAGGAAGACAACAAACTGCCTTTACCTGGTTGGCATGACCCAGTTGCATGGGATGTGTAGCGAAGAGGTAGAGAAGTTTGCCTCACTTTAGGGTGAGGAAATAAGGCTTCTTGATGTTTCGACCATGGCCTCAGGACTGAGCTAGAGCCTGGATTTTGTCCAGTTTAAGGGATTTCTGCCCCTACCAGTGAGACTACGTACAACCAGGTCTGTTCTGGGTGTTTCTATCTCTACACATAACGGTAAGCTTTGTACCTTGCCTTTGGGTGGGGTGAGGTTTGGGGCATCATGAGGATGTACCTTAGATGTGTCTTCTTGCAAAAGAGAAAACAATTCCAAGCCACAAACAACATCTCGGCTCCCATACTGCTGCCGGGCGGATCAGGCACACAGGAGTCTGTGTAGCTTTGCACATGCTCGTATCCAGCTGATTGTTCTTAAAAACGATCACATCAGAGGCCACATCACCTAGATTTACCTTACAATAGTTGGTCTCAAAACCCCTTTTAATTTGCCTCTTATTAATACTTGTGCAGCAAGGTTTGAACAAGCCAACAACATTTAAAATGTAACTGCTCATTTGTAGTAGTGCTCGTTAAAAGTCAAGGCTTAGCAAAACCCAGCAGCTAGCAAGACAGAAGTATGGCGTAGGAAGTGGTCACGCTTAATATCTTGCGTGTATCTCTCAAAAGAGAATCTTTTGTTTACATCCGTCTCTAACAATTAGTGTTCACAGGGTGAAGTCGAGGATTGTTTGCTTGAGATGGGTTTTCTTCACTCATGCCCTGTTTTCTCGGCAACATCCGAGTTTCCAGTGCCTTCATTGCTTCTGGTAGTTTCCTGGCATATGTAGGAACATTTTAGGTTTTCACAGCGATGTGGTTCACCTGCCAGTGTTTCATGCCTAACAGCAGGTGGCGCTGTAGCTACAGTTTTACAGACTGATGCTTCATGCCTGCCTGCCCACCTACCACCTGCCTCCTTCCTTCCTCCCTCCCTCCCCTTCCTTCCTTCCTTCTTCCCTCCCTCCCTCCTCCCCTCCCTTCCTCCCTCCCTTTTCTTTCTTCCTTCCTACACTTTCCTTCCTTTCCTTTCCTTTCTTTACTTATTTATTTAGGATCATGGTGTTTTAAGCCTGAGAATCTAATTAAACCATCAGTATCCTGAGAGAATTTGAACCTCTTCTCCAAGAATGTACAAGGAGAAAGTGCAAAATGATCCAAAGTTCCAAAGCCCCAGGCAAAAAGATGATTGTAGCTAACTAGCCAGGGAGACTGACTTGGCCTATATAGAGACATTCATCTCAAAAGGGGCGGTCCTTTCACCAAGACTCACCAGGGCATCCCTTTATGAACCGCAGCTCAATGAGGCCACCCTCATATCCCAAGTCAGAAACTGCAGGGAAGACCTGTTGTGTTTTTTGGAAAAAACTTACCAGGTGGTTGAGAGAATGAGTTACTCCTAGGGAAGTACAATCCCCAGCTCAGGGTATTGTTCTAAATTACTTATTTTACCCTACCCTCCCAACAAGTAATCTCTGCCAGTCTCTGTCTCTTTCTCTTTCCACTTTTATTTCTCCCCCTATTTGGGGGGGGGGGTCAGGATAAAGATCTCGTAAAGATCTTCACTACTCCGCCAGAAACTGTCCCTCCTCAGTATTTCCTAAAGCTGTCATAGTGATTAACTCTGGAATGAATCCACTCGGGAGATGAGTGGGTAGGGGAGAAACCATAGAATATTAAATTTGGAGAATAACTGACTGCATATTCCCAGTGTTGGTAGCACCAGGCACCTTCCTTCCTCATGACTCAGATTCTCTGAACAAAGTGTATCAGTTTGTGTCCCAGAATTACTGCTTTCCATTCTCCAACTCTGATGTTCAGGTTTAAGCTGCTCCTGTGAAAAGGAAGGTGAATGAGAGATTTTCCATTTTCAGGAGAGAATGATCATCTGACAACTAAAAGCCTGACAGCCCTACGTAGGTGGATGTTCACCACCCTACCGCATATTCTAGCCACCCACCTGCTGTATCTGGGGATAACCAGGTAGTGTAGATTAAGGTTGGGAAAATCAGTATCAAAATCCCACAGGTGAACCTGGAATTTTATACTTTTAAAATCTGGTATCTTACTAAGCCTAAACAATCAAATGCATAAGACTGCCTATCTTTTCAGCATGGCCAGAGTCTATTATTGAAATATGGTGGGAGGCCTTTTGTCAGCATCAGAGCTTTCACAGAATGAAGGTGAGCAGAGAGACATGGATGTTGCTAGATGGCTGACAGGAGACTTGAGAAGTAGGAGACATTTGCTTTGGTAATTTAGCCTCATTCCATGGTCCTATCTTCAACTGTGCATGTCTGGAAACTAAACATCCTCTTGAGGACAGACATTAACCAGGCTCCTAAGAGTCACATGTATGAGTCAGAACACCAACATCCCACTCATTAAGAGTTCATGCCGCAGGAGAACGCATTCTCTTCCCTAGAGAAAAACTCTATGGGCACCTGGGTGGCTCTGTCAGTTAAGCGTCCAACTTCTGCTCAGGTCATGATCTTGCGATCTGTGAGTTTGAGCCCCGCGTCGGCCTCTGTGCTGACAGCTCAGAGCCTGGAGCCTGCTTCACAGTCGGCGTCTCCCTCTTTCTCTGTCCCTCCCCCGCTCACACTCAGTCTCTCTCAAAAATAAATGAACATTACAAAAATGACTTTTCTGGCCTATCTGTGAGAGAGACCCCTTACCTGAGCCCCAGACGGTTCTTGGTTGGGCAGTGACAGAGCCGCCCTCTGATCCTCTTCGTTCACTGTGTGCCAGACTGACAAACCTCCTTCCTGGGTGACCCAGTCGTTATTCGGTTCTGATCATTAGATTCCAGGCATCTGCTCCAGGACACTTTCTGTGTGCTGCATCTATCACTATATTAGCTGTTGAACTATGAGCATTTTGGGGTCAACTTGCTGCCTGTCCTTTGTGCTCTTTGGGGTCATCTGAGAATTTGAGGTTCATGGGCTGAGACAGTGAAGTCTCCATGAGAACACTGATCAGTCATGACTTTTCACTCTTCATTCACCGCCCCCCCTCCGCCCCAGTGATGTATAAGTTCCTCTCATGTGCTGGACATTATTTTAGGCCCTGGTAATAGAGCAGTAACCAAAGTCATTCTTCTTGTAATGAAGCCAGTTCAGTGCAGTGAGACAGATCACGAAGCATCAAAATTAGGTAAGTGGTAGGTACAGGTTTGGAATTCAGGAAAGAGACCCAAGGTGTAAACAGAAAAAAATTGTACGTCATTGGCACAGAGATGGTACTTAACTGTGAAAGTGGGGACATTCCTCTAGGAAGAACTGGCCAAAGAGGCTGAGAAAGGATGGCCAGAAATGTAGAAGATGACCAGGGGATTGTGGTGTCTCCCCAAGTGAAGACACTGTATCAAAGCCTTTGCCCCTTTCGTTAAGGCAGATGGTGGGTAAATGTGTTTTGTACTCATGGATGACATCAGTTGGGTAAGTCGGAGTGTCTGGAACAGTCTAAGAAGGCCTCATGGAGGAAGGCTTGTTACCTGAGGGTGAAAAGGAATGGGATAAGAAAGGGAAATAATTGTTTAAGATGGGAAGGAAATGCAAACCAAGAACTAGAATAGGGAGTTGTTTATCTGACAGGCGTGGATATAGTGCAGGGTGGTACTCGGGAGCAGTAGCCCATCAGTGGAGAGGGATGAAGTGTCCCTGAATCTGAGGCCCCGACCTGGAGAGTCGGCCCTTATCCTGAAAACAGATAAAACACTGACGCTTGAAGCCAGTGGCTCTCAACTGTTCTGATTTTGCCCTCCCGGGGACGCTTGGCAATGTCTGCAGATGTTTTTGGTTATCTACAATGAGGTGCTATTGGCATTGAGTGGGTAGAGGCCAGGGATCCTTCTAAAACATCCTACAATGCACGAGACAGATCCTATCCAAAGAATTATCCGGCCCTAAATGTCAACGGCAACTGAGGCTGAGAAACCCTGCCCTCTTCTGCAGTGGGCACTTGGAGCTCTCCTTCTAATTGGTTGCTTTAATGTTTCAGATTCTTAACAATGAGCTGTTATTTCCTCCTTGCTTCTCCCCTCTGTCTTCTTTCTTGTACACATTAGAGTAGAAACATTTCAGCATCGCATTCCATACATGACGGATGAGGGGATGGCATTATTGGGTCCGGTGTTTTCCTAGCTTAATTTCTGAGATTCCGTCTTATTAAATATTGAGGTTTTCCTTCCTCTCTCCTATGTCTGTTCTGATCAAAGAAAAAGAAAAAAAGAGCAGTGTGATTAAATATAGCTTTGTGGGCCTTAACGTGATCTTAATGGGATTACCTTATGCCAGATGCTAGTGAGGTATTTTTCATCCCCTGCAAAGTGTGACAGAAGGTGCGAGGCAGAGTGTCGTGTCGAGTTTTGTTCAAAGGACAGCAGAGTGTAAGAGCCACGTGTTTGCCTCATAATCACAAACACTGAAACAAAAAGAGGCAATGTAGAAGGCAGAGATGGTCAGTTTCCAGAGTGAGGATTAGCAACTACAGAGAGAGCCTCAACTTTGTTCAGTGTGCAGATGGACAGCGTCTCCAGGAAGTAACTGTGTCTGTCTTTTCCAGTGCTACATGTTCCACATGTACGTCGGGGTACGTGCCGGAGGGGGTATCGGCGATGAAATCGAAGACCCAGCAGGCGACGAATATGAGATCTATCGAATCATCTTTGACATCACCTTCTTCTTCTTCGTGATTGTCATTCTCTTGGCCATAATTCAAGGTGAGCATCCTCCTTACTGGAGTTCAAGAGGATCTAGAATTTGAGCCATTTATTGTTCAAGTTAACACTTAAGGGCAGGTCAGAATGTCAAGTGCTATCCGTAAAAAGGCAACGAGAACTTTTCTGTTCAGTGTTTCTCCATTAGAAATCTATAGGGGGGAATCAAAGGGGGCCCTAGTAAAGGGGAAGACGGATACAGATTTCTTTGGACTCTTTTCCCATTACCTAATGGAAAGAGCACTTTCTTCACTGTGACTTTCTGCCCTGCCACTTATTAACTTTATAATGTTGGGTGGGTGAGCCATTTAACTCCTTTTGAGGGGCGCCTGGGTGGCTCAGTCGGTTAAGCGGCCGACGTCGGCTCAGGTCATGATCTCGTGGTCCGTGAGTTCGAGCCCCGCGTCGGGCTCTGTGCTGACAGCTCAGAGCCTGGAGCTGCTTCAGATTCTATGTCTCCCTCTCTCTGCCCCTCCTTTCCTCGCACTCTGTCGCTCTCAAAAATAAACATTGGGGCGCCTGGGTGGCTCAGTCGGTTGGGCGTCCGACTTCGGCTCAGGTCATGATCTCGCGGTCTGTAAGTTCGAGCCCCGCGTCGGGCTCTGTGCTGACAGCTCAGAGCCTGGAGCCTGTTTCGGATTCTGTGTCTCCCTCTCTCTCTGACCCTCCCCCATTCATGCTCTGTCTCTTTCTGTCTCAAAAATAAAACATTAAAAAAATTTTTTTAAATAAACATTAAAAAATTTTTAATTTTTTTTTTTTAAAAAAGAAGTGATGTACATAGGAGTACTCAGCACAGTATCTGATGCCTCATAAAGAACCCTAAGGCTATCATTGTTGAGTACCTTCTATGTGCCTGGCACATGTTATTAACTCATTTTACCTTCATACACCCGTGAAAATAGTGTTGTTATTTACATTTGAAGAAACTGAGCCATAATACGTCTAAGTAACTTGGCCAAAGTGCACAGTCAAGAAGGGTCAGGGCTGCAATCCAAACCCAGGTTTCTGGACCCAAAGCCCTCAGTTGAAACCAGAGAGCCATCAGGGTGCCTGGGTGGCATGGTCGGCTGAGTGTCCAACCCTTGGTTTTGGCTCAGGTCATGGTCTCATGGTTTCCTGAGTTTGAGCTCTATTGGGCTCTGGGCTGACAGCACAGAGCCTGCTTGGGATATTCTCTCTGTCTCTCTGTCTCTCTCTGCTCCTCCCCCACTAATGCTGTCTCTGTCTCTCTCAAAAATAAATAAGTTAAACTTAAAAAAAAAAAAAAAAAAACACCAGAGAGCCATATTAACGTACCAGTTCTTCCCTTTACCCTAAGGAAACTTGGAATGTGGTGTTCTTCTCCCTCAGAAAAATCACTCTTGTTACCTTTTTCTGCTCATACGTTTATCCTGGCTTGAATTAAATGTCTATAAATGTGTTATTATCCTCTAAGCTCTGCAGGCACAAAACGGTACTTTTTGTTTCCAGTAAAGTACATGAACAAGTCGACAAGATTCATAATCCATCCTTTTGTCTTTACTGAGTGTAACAATAACATATTTTATAAGAGAGCAAACTCATAAAACACTCGGAAAAAGATGTGCAGCCAGTAAGTCACAGGAGGAAAACGAGCTGAGAGGAAACAACGCGGTGCAGTTAGCTCCTGGCTGACACACTTAATAACAGGCCGGCAAGTTTACTTGTGAGGAACGCGTAACGAGAATGAGTGGAGACAGATTCCTCAGTTCATATGGTCACGTTTGATTTCCAAATCGGTACTTGAAAATGTTATCAGTAGACTTTCCTGCGCTTTGCCACCAGAAATCTCTACTGCTCTTTCTTGGAACAACGTGGCGGCTAACATACCAGGTGCATGTGCCGCGGTAACGAGCGGTTTTTCCTGCCCTGTCACTTCGTTTTGAAACCCCCTTCTCAGGGACGGTGTAAGCACAGTACCCGCTGTGCTTCTGCCCCCCAAGAGATAACGCTGCTGCCCTAGGAGGAGTATCAAGTGTGTGCCCACTCACGACTTCTCCCAACCTGGCTGTACGTTTTCTCTTTCCTTGGGAGGACTAGCCACGGGGCTGTGAGCCTCATTATTATTCTCTGGTTGATAAAGATTCGAGTGTGTTTTTCTTTAACACCAGGTTTAATTATTGATGCTTTTGGAGAGCTAAGAGACCAACAGGAGCAAGTCAAAGAAGACATGGAGGTGAGTCTTGCCGCGTCTGACTCAGCTGTGTTGTTGTTGTTGTGGGCACTCATTTTTCCTACTGTCTTTATCAAAGATTCACGGCCGTGGGAGAAAGTAGGAAAAGGGCATGAGCAATGTGTGACTTCCTCGGCCCGTTTTCCATCCGCGCCACGCGTATCGTGTGGTAGGCGGGAAACATGGCGGACGCCGGGGGCGTGCAAACAGTAATGTCTCCTGCTCCCTGAGGAGAACCACCCATTCAGAATGATGGATTCACTGACAAATAAGTAAACAGGAAATTGCAGAGCGGTGTGTTGAACCCTTTATAATAACTCATTGGAGAGATGTATAGTGTAACGTACAGCCTGTGGAAAATCAGAAACAGGTTTTAAGTAAGGTGATGGGGTCTGGCAGTGCATTAGCAACTACCAAGATCAGGGGCAGGGAAGTGGGCTGGGAGCATGTTTTAGGCAGGAGATGATGAGGCTCTTGCGAAAGACGTCCACCGAAGATGTGGGAACCAGATGGATTAAAGCGGTACTTAGGAGCTGGCATGACAAGCAGCGGGTGATTGTCCAGATGCAGAGGTGAGGTGTTTGGAGCAAGCGGGGACGCTACCCAGGTTTCCAGAGTCACAGCGACAAGTAACACAGAGGAGGGGCAGGTTCGTGGGTGAAGCTGCGAAGCATGAGCCCATTTAGTCAAGACATCAAATGGTATAAAGACCTGTTGCCTTTCTGAATGTGGCCTTCCTGCTGTCCACAGTTGTTGATCAATAAGGCAGAGGGAATTGAATAAATTATCGTAATCATCTTGAGTCCAGGCCCTAGAATCTAAGGCATCATAAATATGCCTCCGATGGCATTAAACAGTTGCTAATTTGCAAGCAGGATGAGCATCTGGAGCCACACGAGGGCAATAACTATCACATTTGCTTGAGTTGATACATGTGAAATTCTCATAATGAAACGGGAGGCCTGCTTCTCTTTAGCTTTTGTGTGCTGGTCCTGCACACCACGGACCTAAGCAGGTGCTGCTCTGAGAGATCTGGTTAGAACGAGCAAGGGGCACAAAGAGCAGGCACCTCATTCCTGGAGTAGAAAGTTCTGATGATGAATGTTCATTGGTTAATTCTGCACCCGTGGCGGACCCTCTCTCAGTCATTGATCGAACACCCCACAGCTTGATATTTGATTTGGCTCTCTCCAGATGGGAGTAATCTGGACCTTTCCCCCCTCCCCTGGGTCATCAGACTTTGTTCCAGTAGGTACCAAGCTGGTGGTTTCAGCTGAGGGCACATTGAGTCCCGTCTACATAACTTGAGTTAATGTCATGAACAAGACTGATGGCTAAGTCTGGGCACTCTCACTTAAGCTGGAGGAAATAAGGAAAAGACAGTGCTTTTCAGCCATCGTGATCCTGTACGCTTCTTCCTACATGTGAACTTGTTGCTGGTACCTATGTCATTTAAACCTCCAGCCAGATATAGTTGTGGCAACAGTTAAATTAGCGTTCATGTGTTGGCACAGCCTTCTGTCGTGATCTTCTACAAACATCGAGTAAGCATAGCAGCTGCCCCCTAAGTGGCAAGTTGTGTGTTCGTTTTGCTTTCTGAAATCTGACACGTAAATATTTCCCTTTGTCTTCTAGACCAAATGTTTCATCTGTGGGATAGGCAACGATTACTTCGACACAGTGCCACATGGCTTTGAAACCCACACTTTACAGGAACACAACCTGGCCAATTACCTGTGAGTGTGCCTGACTCAGACTCTCCAGCCCCTCCTTATACCCGCCAGTGAGTGCCCCCCTGTTAGCAAGCTTGAGAAGCAGAAGAGACATAGATTCCTTTCTTTATACTGTTGAACTCAGGCTTCGTCTATCTCTTTGATAGAAAGACCCACAGCTAGCGGTCCCCTTGTCCTCAGGAGGTATGTGTATCTGGTATGCGGTGTGGTATCAGACGGGTATGTGATAAGAAAAGAACTTGCAGCCCTTCATGTGAATGATACCTTCTAGAACACGAAATGGAAAGGTGGAAAATGATAAGTGAAATACATCCTCAGCCTCTCAGAGAGCCTTGGCCGTGTTTCCCATTTCAAGAAGGCAGACTCCAGATGCCTCCTAGGGACTCGGGAATCTCCATCTTCATTTTCTGAGGACGTACAGATCTCTTTAGGCCCAATTATCCTCTTTAGGCACTGTGTTCTAACATGATTCAAAGTTGCATTTTTTTTAATACATAGAAATCTGGCTGTTGCTGTAGGACTAGCCCAAGCTGCAGTTTGCTAAAAAATTATTCTTGGTTTCTAACCCAATTTTGCTGTCAAACAGAAGAGAGGCAGAGTAGCACTGTAGCAAAAAGAAAAGAAAAAAGCAGGCTTCGGCATTCACAACCGTGGGACATTAGGCAAGTTATTTAAACTTTTTAATCCCTGCTTTTCTAAATGGGGATTGTGATTCCTGCCCCATGAGTGGCTAAGTGCGATCTGACACGAAACCTGATGTACAGCAGCTCCCGAGAGGTATAACTTGATCTGCGCACGCCCACATTGTAGCTACTTTGAAAACGTACTTTTTAAAAATGGTTAAGCTTTTGGTTCCCGTGGCGTCTTTTGCCTTGCAGTTTTGATACGTTTCTCCGCTCTGCCAACAGTGTGCAGTTAGCCCGTAGCCAGATCAGAAGTATCTGTGAACGCTGACATTTCCATACAACCCATTTCTGATTCGTCTCTCTGTATCTGTAGGTTTTTTCTGATGTATCTCATCAACAAAGATGAAACAGAGCACACAGGACAGGTAGGTAAACAGCGACCATACACTGTCTTCTGAAATAAGTGACAGAGAATATGGACATGGTGAGGAAAATGTGTACATTAAACCTGAAGAGTTGGGATTACTTTCAGATATAGTATCTTAACAAAAAATTCCTGTTATCCCAGACGAGCGTGCAAAGATTGCCTTTGTCGAGAAAGTAAAATCGTAAGTTCACATAAAAAATGTAAGCTTTTAATTACCTGAAAACGCAGGGCTTTGTGTTCTGATAAGTATAATGTCCTTGATTGCTTAATCAGATAGCAGATGGTTTCAGATGAGTTCCAGCCCACAATATTAGGATCAATTAAAAATAATTGTGTATGAAATATCTACGGTTCTCCTTAAGTATTTGAAATTCTCCCTCCACAAATATTCACCTCCGATTGTTAGCAGTTTGAATTTGAAGGATACAATTAATATTTCCTTAAGAGAACCCATAAAATCATATGCCACAAATAGTGTTTTTAATCATTGTATTATGGTCCAGATGAAGATGGATTATTAATAGAAATATGAGGTCTGGTATAGCTAGGCACTCTCTAGATGAATTTGGGCTTTTCGAATCAGGTAATTATGTGTACTTACACAGTTACATGGGTATGTGATATATATATATGCAACAAATGTGTGTTTTTATCTTGTATTTTGTGGTAATGCACAGATCCTGGGGAAAGACATGTGTTAATACATTTCCTTTACGTTGACAGGAATCTTATGTCTGGAAGATGTATCAAGAAAGGTGCTGGGAATTCTTCCCAGCAGGGGATTGTTTCCGGAAACAGTATGAAGACCAGCTAAATTAAACTCAGACTCTGGTCACCTCTGAAAACCAAAACATACACATTCACTCTTTGTCTGTTTCGGTCTCTGTCTCTCTCTGACTCTTTCTCTCTGCTCTCTTGGAGACATCCTGCTGAATTTGTGAATTGCCAGCATTATATGCTTTCTGGGAGCAGTGAACTCTGTTTCTGAAGACCCGACTGTGCTTTTCCCCCCCACCTTGTGTATTTTCTTTGAGAATAAAGACTGAAGAATATTCTAAATTCATACACAGACAACATAGGAACTCTGGAAAGGACACCATTTCGGACACTCTCAGTCATAACGCAAATGGACTGATTTCCTTCTGAGACTCCTGGAAGTCCCCTTGAGCTATGGGACAGTCACAGAGACACGTGACAGCCACACTCATCCGGCCCCTTTATTTCACCATCCTGAGAGGAACTCTCTAATGGTCACAGAGCACTGTAGCACTTAAGAGATTGCCGTGGACACCACTTACGAAGGGAAATAGTGCCTTACTATATGTGGGTTGAGCTATGCAGAAGATGTGTGCATGAAAAAAAACATCTTTATTTTCTTCATGTCGATCTTTTTTTTCTCAGATTGATTTTGTGGTTTTTTTTTTTTCCTTTATTATTTTCTCTGGTGGGGGAGGGTAAGAAAAGCAGTTTGCGTGCACCTTTTAAAAAAAAAAAAAGACGGGTGGCCTGTCTCAGGACGAGAGGAGGCTCTTCTCATTCACTAAATTCACATTTACCCTCCCCATGTGATCGTGCTCTTATTTTGGTAATGCTCTGGTGCAACACTGCGACTTTATGAAATCTTTGTATGAAAACACAAAGACTGCAAAAAAAAAATACACTTTCAAAAGAAATAATTCATTGCATGTTTATTATGCAAGTTTAAAAGAACAAAGAAAACCTCCAGAAGCAAGTTGATGAACGTGAGAGACCTTTCATGATAATTCTACTCATAGTAATAAAGTGTCGTGGGCTTAATTGTATATTTGGAGCCAGTGTCATCCACCAACAATGTGATACGTTATGAACTTGACAGTAGTTTTGGGTTTTTCTCTTTCTTTTGGCCACCTGTGATCAGTTGCTGATTAAGGACTTCTCGTCCGGCCATTTTTTTAATATCAAAGCTGAAGCAATATCCATTCAGGGAGTTCATCAGATGCATCAAAAAACCACGGGTGATAATTACCAGTCACTCCATTTTGAGTCCTTTTAAATGTAATGCTTATCTTTACAAATAAAAAGACAGATTCAGAATGGAAGCAAGATCATTTTGCAAACATTGGAGCTCTTTTATTACAAGTCTGCTTGTTAATTTTAGAATTGGAAAACTGCTCTGATTAAACTATTTAACTAACTTTCTCACTCTCTTCTTTCTCCATTTCATGTATAGTTGGGAGGCATTATAAAACCTTGAGCTGTTAACTTGAGAGGGGTCTGGGGCAATGCAAACCCTGCCCTATGGCCTTTAATGCCTTCAGATTTCCTTGTGGCCCAGCAAGCTTGCTGCCTTTATGATGACGGAAACTCAGAGTCAGCAGGCAGTTTGAACCACCTAGCCTCACCCCTGCCCTTTCCCTGACTCGGGGACATCAGGAGTTCGTTAAAACCACCAATGACAGAAGGATCACTGTCTCCCAAATCATTTAATTTTTATACAGCTTTCATTCTAGAAGGTTCTTCCTTGCTCAGGGCAGTTTTTTCCCCCTGTAATAGTACAGATTCATTTTCTGCCTTCATATGAAAGAGAACCGGTACACTAACTAGCAAGTGGTGTTATTAGATACTCAGACACTAATCGAACATTCGCCGTGTTCCAAGCCCTGGGCTGGGTATCATGTCATTTTTCAACTTGTTGACGCAACAGGAGAGCTATGGTACCTAGAGTTTGCATTTGTCTTTTGGGATCATTTTTATTTGGGAGAAGGAATAGAGTCAATTCAACCACACCATGGGAATTCCCAAGCCTGCCCAGGGAGGTGATCTTATGTTCTGAGGTGTCTGAATAAAATAAATCAGATCAGCTCCATAAAACATCAAAAAGCATGTTCCCGTTTGCCACAAAACTGCAGAGGAAGCATACAGTGAAAAGGAATACATATTTCTCCAGGACATAAAATCTGATAGATTTGGGTCTTCATGCATAAAGCAAAGTCAGATTTGATGTGAAACAACAGTACAGGTGAGAGGTGAGAGAACAAATCCCTAGTCATCTCCTGGCCTGGAGTTTGCAGACTTGTTGACTCTCCTAATCACTCCTGGCTTTAGTGCCTGGGAAGGTGACAGTGCTCACAGAGAAACAGAAAAAGGCTGAATTCTGGAAAAAGAGCTTCCTCCACCCTTGAACTTTGGGCATCGGCGTTGGAGGAAGAGTAAGGGAGCAAAGCCAGTCACTTTAGAAAGCCACCCACTGCCCAGCCTTACTGTGGCTGACACTTAGAGGAGATCACCTCTCTATTCCCTTCTCGAGTCCTCAAGAGAAGAGGGGCTTTTATGTATCAGCATTATTAATTCTCCCAGGAAATGTCACATGAATCTCCAACAACGTGGCTCACCACTTCTCTGATTAAACTCTGGACTGATTGACTCAAACTCAAGAAATGTCATCCCTTTCGAGATTTTGTATTAGACATTCAAACATTCACAAAATAATGTCTGCGTATTTCTGTTTTAACACAGACATTTTTCTGCCATTCTTATTTCCCCTCTCTCTCTCTTCCCAGAAATCTCTCTTGATCCTACTCCATTAAATACATTTAGAATCATGGTTGAAGATTTCCAGATGCACTAAATGGTACTTAGTCCGTGGACTGATCGTCATTTTTCTCACACAGAAGAGGCAGTTCTTAGTTCCTCAAAACCTTATTTAAAAGTCATATTGTAATGAAAATTACATTCTTTGCCATTGCAAAGGCATAGCTGTGAAAATGATTTTTTTTTTTTCACTACATTGCTTTACTGGGGAAGTGTTCCTGTTTTCTTAAACTCCAATTTTCTGGGTGAATATACCAATATGGCCTCCCTCCCCTTTGCTAAAAAGGGCTTTAGGTGGCCATCAGTGTGGCCAGTGCCTCGTTTACTCAGGACACAGTAAAGGAGAACTTTAAACAAATGTGTTTAGTACATTCACCAAGCATGGAATTCATGTAAACTTGACATGGATACGTTTGGACAGTTAGACATTCTCCAAATTATTTTATAAATATTGTATGGTGAAGAGGATGACCTCCCTATCACCTTACTGGTGATGTTTCTATCCAACATTCTGAAATAGCTGTGACAAAACCTGGAAAATATCATCTCACGTTGGTACAAGTGCATGGATGGCACCTGGGTTTTTTAATAGCCATAAATGTAACACATTTTTAATAGTTATTTATTTTGAAAGAGAGCAGGGAAGAGGGAGAGAGAGAATCCCAAGCAGGCTCTGTGCTGTTAGCACGGAACCCAACATGAAGCTCAGTCTCATGAACTGTGAGATCACGACCTGAGCTGGAATAGAGTCGGGTGCTTAACCAACTGAGCCACCCTGCCCCTGATTACACATTTCTCTTTTTTAAGTTTATTTTGAGAGTGTGAGAAAGAGTGTGCATGTGCAGGGGAGGGGCACAGAGAGAGAGAGAGAGAAAATCCCAAGCAGGCCCCACAATGTCAGCACAGAACCCAATTCCGGGCTCAAACTCACAAACGCTGAGATCATGATCTGAGCCAAAATCAAGAGTCAGATGCCAAACAGACTGAGCCACCCAGGCGCCCCAACACATTTCTTAATAGGACAAGGTCAGAACCCATCATATCACCTAGACTTCTAGTATTCAACTGTGTAGCTAATATGAGTGCTAAACAGCTGAGTAAGTCCTTAAAGTTCCATGTTCCCCAAATGGCAGAGTATTTATAATGTCACAACTCAGTATAGTGAGCAGAAGCACTATTCTCTTCGTATGTATGACATTCAAGGCCTTCTAGAACGTTTGCGCTGGAAAGGATTTGAGCAATCATGTTTCAGATGAGCAATCTAGGCAGGTTAAATGCCTTTGCAGAAGTGCCCGGTTCAGTGGGAGAGCTGGAGCTTTCTCTAAAAAGCCAAGTTTCTGTTTAAACTTTTTCCTATTGTGGTCAGATTGGCTTGAAAAGTAACAGGCACTTTATGACCCAGCAGAAATGAAACAGGAAAGCAGGTAGTTACAAAAGCTTTGATGAAATGTCACTGGTACTCACCTTCTGCGTCTTTGATAAGGGGAATTCTGGAAGTGATTATCAAATGAAGAGCTGGTGTCAAAATGCACTATTTCTGAAAAAAAGAAACGACATCAATTTTAATCCAAGACAGGAGGTGAAGTTTCATTCACCTCGATATTTTATTTCAGTATCTACCTCACTTCTTGATGGAGTTCTACTGAATGTTTCCTTGGTTTTCCTAATGGTCCATAAGTTACTTAATTGTGGCTAAAAGATCTGGACCCAGTTGTAATATTCATCATGATTAAAATACTTTGGATTCATGGGCACCTGGGTGACTCAGTTGGTTAAGCATGTGATTTCGGCTCAGGTCATGATCTCACACTCCATGAGTTTGAGCCCCAAGTCGGGCTCTGCGCTGACAGCTCAGAGCCTGGAGCCTGCTTCGGATTCTGCGTCTCCCTCTCTCTTTGCCCCTCCCCCACTCACACTCTGTCCCTCTCTCTGTCCAAAATAAAAATAAACATTAAAAATTTTTTAAAAAATAATTTGGATTCATATTTTCTTAAACATTTTGGATATCCTCAGTTGAGGAAAGTTTTAGGGAATCAAAGAAATCGTACGTGTTAGCACGTCAACAGTGTTTTAATGGCAAAAGTGTTTTAATGGCAAAGGAGCAACGGATTTCCCTGTCTTGTCCACCATCTCCCACACACCCAGTGTTCCAATTCCTACCACACATCATAAAATTTATTTTTCAAGAAATTTGTAAGTGTGATCTATGTGTCCTCCCTTTGCATTAAGTGTGGCTAAATGGGCCTTTC